TTTTTTTTTTTTTTTTTTTTTTTTTTTTTGTTTTGGTTTTTGTAAAGGTGGGTAATTAATAACTCTATATCAACGCAGAAAAGTGGGTGGAAGAGGATCAAACACAAAAAAACATTCTAAAAGGCATAAAAAATCAAGAGTAAACGAGGGGAGGACGTGGCAGCCTGATTTATCATCGTCACAAAAGAACAATTAAGATAAGAATGAAAAGTATAGTAACAATGTTTAATCAAAAAGGAAGAAAGAAAATGGGCTCAGACCTTCTGACGTCTCGTTTACGACAACTGTGCATACACGTGCCTGAGGTGTGTATGCGAATATGTAAAATGAAGTAGCAGCAGTAGCAGGAAATGATGCGATGGAGGATACTTTTATTGCCCTTGTCAAAGGGGGAGGCGGTGGGTGAGATCGATGATGTTCAAAGAAAAATAGTAGATATTAACGGGAATAAGATGGAAAGACGACAGGGATCCGAGGAACCTAGCGAGGAGAAAATGGGATAGGGTCGGACGACGATCTGGGTTTAATAAGGGAATTTAATATCACCAACACATTCGTGGGGAGAAGCTTCTTCGTGGTTGATTGAGGATCGGTGGACAGCGCGGGGTTTTGATTTCTTTAGTACTGGAATAGCTAGTGGTGAAACTAATAGGGTCTTGTTGGTAGAAAACATACCACTAGTCACGGCTTGCTCCAGTCAGAAGCCTTAAAAGAAGGTAATCCATGGAGTGTAGCCGATCAGAGGGTTAAGAAAAATAAGAAATTATGGGCAAATTGAATAGCACACAAACCAATAAAAGAAATACGGTCAGTGGACTTACTTACGACGGGGCTGTCATAGGACGATGCGGGAATGGAGTTTGTGGGTGGGGAGGGAAAACGAGAGAAGGGTAGGAAAAAAAAAAAAAAAAAAAGGGAAAAAAGGAAAATGAAATGACCTGCACATGAAGTAGAAACTAATGAAATTCGGCCCTGGTTCAAATGTCAATAATGAGAATCTGCAGCCGATGGGTGATAAAAACAACAGACTAAGAATTAGAACAAGTAGTTATAGTATATAATTTTGTAAAAAAAAAAAATCTAAGATCTCGTAATTAAAAAAATTAAAAAACTGAGCGTGATATACCAAGAAGAGAACTCAACTTACTGATAACCACCAGTCTAATAGGGTTAATCAAGAGAGTAATGATCAATGATCATGAATGGAGGTGAGGTGGTGGACGTCAGTTAGCGTAGCAAATGCAGCGGAACAACCGGTTAAGTGGTTGGTTTGAACTTGTATGGATCCTCAAATGACGATCCATCCAGAAGCTACTTTGTTTTATCTTTTTATTTATTTATTTTTTATTATTACTAGTATACATACAGAGTATATATATTTTTTTACTTTCTTCCTTTCCCTCCCCTCGGTGTCTCTGCCTCTTTCAGGACCCTGATATTACTGAACTTTCCCTCGTCTATCTATTAGTCGATTATCCTACCTATCCATCAGTATGAGGTCTGTCCTTCGTACAGACGATCAAACTACCTTACTGCCGTCTTGTCAGGAAGAACCCCGATACTACTGGCACTGACAATATGCCGCTGCTCCATGATTGGACGGAGAAACACTAGTTACGGTGACTTCCAGACTTACCCGACATCACCGGTGATATTTCGCAGAAGTGGATCATGAACTTGATACCAACGTGCGGTTCTTCGACTATTGGCATTTTCCCCCATGGTTATAACTCAAGAAGGTGCCCAAACCAAGTGAGATGGCAAATAGCTTCATACGCTTTCTTCTGTTGGATATAGTGGTATGAAACAATAGCCAGAATTCGGAACGACCATCCGGTCCCATTCGATCCAATGCAAATGCCGAACGGTGTTTGTTCGATTGGGGGCTGTGAGATCTTCGGTGATAGTGGTGGTAGTAGTGCGTCTCCAGGACAGTCTTGCTCAAAATCCCTTCCTTTTTTTTATTTTTGATTTTTGATTTTTAATTTTAGTTTTCCTTTTCTGCTTTTGAATTCCTCGTTCCTTGGTCTTGTCGACCTGCATCTCAACATCTCCACGGGATTAAGCCGAGGGCTCAGATCGCAACTGTCTGTGCAGAACTCAACCATAGAAACTCAGGCGGGCAACATGTAATCCCCGTATTCGATAGACACAAAGAAGGGACATAACGAGGACTCACCCGATCTGAATGCAACGTCCTCGATCTCCATGCAGTGGAAAGCGGCCACATGTCCCGGCATGGATGACAAACGCTGGGTGGAGCGACACTAAGCGGAAACTAACGCCGCTGTTGAGAACTTGAGATTCGCTCTAACAAGCTCACTAGTTCAGCGCCATACACCGTCCTGCCTTCGGAAGAGGAGTACGAACTGGGTCTTTGCTAACTCCGAATAGTATTAGAGACGACGACCCAAGGGGGGGTTACACTTCAGCAATCGATTCTAATCTAAAATCCTTTCGTCGGTCCCTGTTACTTGCCGTCTTGCATGCAGCATACGAGTGCGGAGTAAGTGATACTTGCTCACTGGCTAAAGATTCCGGGTAACTTTGCGTGTCCCGCTTTAGGAGAAAATAATGGATTATCTTAACCAGCCCGATGGGGGCTCTTTCCAGTGGGCGCATCCCTATTCCAGTGTCCCATTCACGGTTGTATTCGATGATCGATCCAGGATTCCAGACCCATTCCCAGCGTCAAGTTAATGTTGAGCTACTCTATAAGGCCTCCAATGATCGTATTACGTTGTCAGTGCCTCAAAGAAGCAACGTTACGATGATCACGCTAGGATCGTGATTATGCGGATAGACATCCTCAATCACCTATAGATTGTACCCTACCACCCTATAAGCTGCGGCGCTATAACTCAAATACTATGAGCCACTGGGTAAGATACCTAAGTGAGATCAGACCACCACCGCGAGCAATCCTGGTCAGTGGAATGAACCGCCTGACGCCCGCTGGCCCATCTGGCCGGCACACCCATGCCCTCGGCTACCAGCTTCTCCAACCCGTCAGGTTGGAGCGAAAATTCGCTCTTTTTTTGTTTTGTTTTGTTTTTTTTTTTACCATTCTCCTCTTCTCTTCTGTATGCGTCTAGGGTTTGCCAATCCTCATGCTCAACTTCGCACCGTCCAGGATGATTTTCGATCCAACTAGAAGCAGGCTTGCATATGCTACCTCGGCTGTCGCTCCGAAGCCATTGCCCTTCCGGACGGATTTGTGATTTGGTATTCGTCCGTGAGCTTCTTATACTCACTACCTAGGTACCTTAGGTACCTACCCTGGGTCGCATGCTAGCGGTTGCCTCTCTGTCTCTCTCAGTTTCTCCCTTTTGGTTACATCCCGCCCCGTTGCACATACTCCTCGGGTACCTGAATGCCGGGATGATTTCTGTTTTACAACTGTCCAGCCCAATCAACTACCCACAGAGAGATATCCATCGGACTGGAGCTCGGAGTTCCGGCTGTCAATCCCAATCCCAGTGTGCTGGAATACTGCTTTTCCTTTTCCCCACCTAGTCAATATACACAGACAAACAGTTTGAAACACGGCCAACAGAAAATCAAATACAACCTAGGCAAATGCACGAACGACACCCACAGCAAGAAAGTCACCCCTGTACTTAGAGATTGGATGTGATCACAGTCGCAGTCATATTCCAATTATCTACGGTTTAGATCAAGGAGGCTTACTGAATGTCGCCACTTCTATATGGTTCATTTTTCGTGACCTATGGGTAACGGGCCAAGATGAGCAGCTCAACATCCATAATCCAGGTACTTAAATCAAGAGAGTTAAGGTCCAAAGTGGGTGGATGCAAACCCCGGAGATTCCTCGGTGCCTTAACCGTCCAGACAAGGATGAAGATTCGGTATAACTAGTGCTATTATGATGTGACCGATTACAGGCCAAGGATCCCTCCAATGGTAGGTACCTGACATTGACGCCTATCAGAACCTACTCTGACACTGAGTCGGTACCTAAACGACACGTAAGTAACATACCTCATCACCAAACGTTAAGTGATAGCTTCCGTCCAATAGCACCACTATCGCACACGCAGGGACCCCATTGACTACTAGCTTCTAGTAGCTGATGGACTCCAGGAAGCAAACAAACTCCAGGTCTACCGAGCATGTATCATGTATATCCACATCATAAGCTAACGTTATCGTCACCGTGCCTGTATCCACTAATCAAAAAAAAACCCCCCCCCAACCCAAGTTGTTCTAAGCGCCTCGGGAACGAACAATGAAAAGCATAGAGAAAAGAAGGTAAAAAAAAAAGGGAAAAACAAGAAGGCCCACGGGACTTCTCCGTTTCCCTCCTAACACGATAGCCCAACCTTCAGTGGGGCAAACTAGTATTATTCGATGGCAGGCGGCCAATTTGTTGAAAGTACTCCAGTAACCAGGTTCTGTTCCCTCTTGGCAAGGCGAGGGAGAAAAAGAAAACAATGAAATTAACGAACGCACACACGCAATTTTCTACTATCAACTCCACTCGGCCGCAGTGCCCTATAATTGTATGAATTATTACTACCTGCACTCCTATGTTGCGACAATGGTGGACATGATCCTTCCAGTTTAGCAATAATTATCATAAGAGAGAGAGAAGCAGATGTTTTGCCCCTCCCCACCACACCATTTACATCCAATAATTGTTCCCACTTCTGCCGGTTGATCGCCTATTTTTATATTAAATCGTTCTGTAGCATCCCTGTCGTTGTGGTTTCTTCGCTGAATCATTGACTGGCCCCATTAGCCATTTAGTTCACGCAAGGCGTTTAGTTAACTATGTCGGTACGACCCGTGTCTCCATTCCACCATATCTAACTTTTGATCAGAGCTGCTGACACCCGGTGGAAATCCGACTTGTCACTAGTTATTATCTTCTCCGATATCAATCTTGATGTGACCCCAGTGGTCTGCTATACACCGAGTATACCTCCAGGCTTCGTAAGACAATATCCATTCCTGGATCTGATTCCTGGTCCATGCATAAGGAAACAGAAGAACAAACCGAACACTACATCTCCATACATCTGCAAAGTCTCTTACCTGCCTGTTTTCCCTTTTTTGTTTATTTCCCCCCCCCCCCCCTCTGCATACACGTACCCAGCATTTCAACCCCAAGCGAAAGGTGGGAATCCGGGTCCCCACAGCGGATGTTGTCTCTGTGGATCCCCCTCTCATTAGGTGGACCATGGGACCGTCAACTGCTTTCCTTACGGTGTTCTGGTCCTATCATTGAACCGCGACGCAGACGCAGCCTGCATAGCTATGGATGATGATAAAGGATTGATGAGCGATGAAACTGGGTCCTCCTGACTTTTGGTCCTTTTAGTGTATGCATCTTGCAGAATTTTTTTTGTACCCTTTCTTCTTTTGCGTGTCCTTTGGTGCCTGGTTCGCTTTTTTTTATTTTTTTTTTTATTTTTTAACTTTCCTTTGGGGTTTCGTTCTATTTTGGCTTTTGCTGGCCTTTGTGTTGGCAAGTGCATGTATGTATGTCTGTATGCTTTGATTGTTGTAGTGTCAACTAGTTTGATGGGGGCGGTTTGTGGATTGGCTCATTCATTCATTCATTCATTCATTGATTGTTTCCTCTTTGTATATTCCTTTTCATTATTAAACTCTGCAGCAAACTAGGATTACGTCTGCTTGTCTACTTCCTTCCACGCCCACGGACTACTACTGCTACATCACACACCTAATATCCGCCTGCACCTGTAACCCTGGGCCCGTGTCCTGAGCCTTTACCCTTCCATCCAGCCCGTAATCGGCGCGCAGTACGTAAACTCGCTGCAGATGGTGCTTCATCGCTAAATCCCGATTGGAAGAGGGGTCCGCCTCTCAACCCGTGGAGCTGAGACGTTTCGTCCGTCCTGAACCCTTCCCCGTCATTTAAGGTGGCCCGCCAAAGGGTCCGAAGCGATGCGTTCCACTCCTCGAGGGATCGTAGTCGATCCACGTCACTAGTGCTTTCCACGACAACCGTTCCATTTTCTTGGTCAATTTTGGCGTTCAGCTTCTTGTCTAGGATCAGGAAACTCAAAATGTCCTGGACCTCCGGGATCGAGATTTTAATGTGCTTGGAGATGAAGGCCAGCGTAAACCGCGTGTAGGGTGCGATCAGCTTGAGGACGGCCTTCGTCCGCATGTTTCGGCTGACCTCGTCGATGTTCTCTGCGATGAAAGGATCGGCCAGGACATCTGGATTCTTGCTCAGGACCGCCTCGTACGCGTGGATATCGTCCCGCTGGAAGGCATCGACGAGATCGGTCATGGCCGAGATGCGCGGGTCGCTCTTGTAGGGCTTGGTCTCTTGCGAATAGAACGGGTTGATGTCGGATTTCATCAGCATGGTGGTTAGCACCAGATATTTGAGCACCTGGATACGTTGCATCGAACCCGCCTCGTCGTAGTTCCGGAACGACTCAAAGAAATCGCTCTGCGCCTCTTCCCAGTTTTCCTCGCTCATATGCATCTTCCCTCCACATTCCCGGATAATGCCCATGATCTTAGGATGCGGGACCGCCGACCGCACACGGAGGGCGCGCTGATACAGGGCTTTGAGTCGCTTATTGTTCTTCGTCTCGGCATACATTTGGATTTCCAGTGCGTATAGTTCCAGTAAGTACGTTCCTTTGCTGGGATCATCCGACCCATCTTCCCGCTGGCATGCCCGATGCAACTCCCGCACCTTCTTGCTCAGTTGACCGTACTCCTTGCGTTCTAGCCATAGGCGGGCCAGTTTAATATTGGTCTTCAGCCACAGACGCTCGTTATTTGTGTTCTGGAACGAATGTAGCGTCAACGAATAGAACTCTTCCATACACTGATAAGCCTTGTCGTCGTCCGAGCCCTTCTCGATGTAATCCAGCATGTTGTTGATAGACTTTTCGGAATAGTTTCGTGTGACGGCCGACTTGACGTAGGTAAGGAGTTCTCTGTAATGTTCAACCGCCTAGACCAATCAGCAAGACATCCAGACACATGGAGGGCGCTCAAGAAAGACCTACATCGCTGTATCGTCCGAGTTTGAATTCCAATTTTATCGCTTGCTTGAGACCTTTAAAACCCCTTCATATCATCAGCGGCCTGTCCAGCCAACCCGATAACTGCAAGTTATAGTTACCAATCGCCTTTCTCCTGCTCCAGAGCCGGTACCTCCAGGAACTCATCGATCGCTTCCTCCGGGTTATCTATCTTCATTTGTTTGGCGTTGTAGTATTTATTCTCGATCCCGATGTCACCCGACTCGTCGTCGTCCGCATCTTCGTACTCAAAGTCATAACTAGCAGGAGTTAATCATACGTTCCCACGGCCCCCCGTATCAGGCGGGAGATACGCACTCTTCGTCGCCAGAATCTTGCATGAAGTCATCATCGTCAGACATTTTGGGGTAGCTTTGTGAAGCTCTATTTTCGTAGTTTCGGGTATTTCTTGTCTATCGGTAATATGAATTTTAGGTGGAGGCCAGGGGATTTCGTAAGGGTACACGTGAAAGTCGTTCAGTTATTGTTGTTGTTTGAGGTAGATAATAGGCGTCGAAGAGAGTGTGAGAGACAAATGGAGCTTGCTGGCAGCCTATCGGAGGCCGGGGTTGTCAACCACCTTCTTTCTTCCGTTCCCCGCGCTACCACTGACTTAGTCCAAGGTCGATGGGTCCGACCGTACTTTTCAATCTTTCTTGATCAGGAATTGATCTGGAACTATTTGCAGTGCCTCGTTGCTTTGGTTATCTAGGCCTGATTGATAACCTATAGGCTACTACTCCTGTTTTCGTCTGAACTGGCCAAACATCTACATGAAACAGGAGAGGGTCGATGTCGCACAACATACGTCGATACGTATATGAAAGTAATATATATCCATATCGCTGTAATACATATCACAGACGACAGAGAAGCGTCATCAATTGCCAAAATCTAGAATGGACCGGTGATGTGGATTACAATTCATGTTGCAGTATAGTATGCTATCGAATATTTACAGGCTGGATATTTATATATAGTTGTTGAGATATGACAGGGAAATTTGAACAAACGCTGTGTCACTGCCTTAAAATAATTGCAATGTAGAAGGATTGCCCGTGATCCATCAGCTAACCTGTGATTTATTCGTCATTGGAAAGTGCTATCATGGTGGTAGGCTATGTTTTCTAAATTTATAACCTCAAGTTAAGACAGTGGAGACGCGGTATCGACTGAGCACACCGCAGCTTGATGACGGCATTGAAGTCTAGAAAGTAATTGCGTTAAACGTTGAACCTCTTTGTTTCTATTCTGATATGGATATGTAAATGCTAGTTGAGTAGCGTAGAACTCATCATTGGAATATATATGCAATGTAGCGAAGCAAATAAAAAATATGGTGTAAAGAAAAGACCAATAAGTAAGACAAAGCCATTATTTAGTTTGAAGCTTGTGCAAGCAGGTACCAGAAGACAAAACCCCATACATGGAGCACATGCGGATATCACAACCACTGAGATCCCACCAACAACAAGATTGCAACATAGTTTTGATATCCAGGGTGTGGCATATATTATGAGTACTGAACACTTCGTGAGATTCAGGCACCCCGGTGAGGCGAAATTAGACCTCAGTCCTTGGCAGATGAGGATCGTCTCATTCGCCGACCCTTTCAAGGTCCGATGACATCGTCTGCACGGCCCATGACCGGTGGCTTTGCTTCCCTCACCACCAGTGTCACAAACTCCTCATTTGCTTATCACTGAAGTGCAAAAATTATTATTTGCCCCATATTTCTCTTATATATTCTAGATATATACGTCTGTCCCGACCCAGACCTAATTGATCGCATCCCTTCCTCCCTTCTCGCTACTCCTCGCGCATACCGTACCAAATTCTTGAATACGATCCTTCCACGATGGGTTTGTGCGGGCGTCAGACAGTTGTCCGTCGGAAGATGGTGCTGCTGTTAGTAAAATCCAGGACTTTCACCACCCGGAGGACAGATTTCTAACCACTGGATTAGAGGTGACGGTGCTTGTGGCAAGACTTCGGCCTTGAACGTGTTCACAAGAGGGTAATAAACTTCTCCCGCCCGTTCTCTTTACGAGGTCCACTAATCCTTGGTGCATAGGTTCTTCCCAACAGTATAGTAAGATACACGCTCTTTCCCATGGTTATGCACGCTGCGATATTGACCTTACTACCCGCTCAGTGAGCCGACTGTTTTTGGTACGTACTTAGCCCCTTCCTAATCGTTTGCGTTGGCTAACCATGATCTCTCTAGAAAACTATGTCCACGGTAATCGCCTTCGCCCCTTCTATGTCCAATTCGTATATTCATAACTCCCTAGATATTTTCGTCGACAATGTACACATGGAATTGTCGCTCTGGGATACCGCTGGCCAGGAGGAATTTGACCGATTGCGTGCGCTATCGTACGAGGATACACATGTGATTATGCTTTGTTTCAGCGTGAGGAACCCTTGCGCCCTAGTATCGGTGGATATCGACTAAATGGTCGAATGTAGGTTGACAGCGCGGATTCGTTCGAGAACGTCGCATCCAAATGGGTCGAGGAGATTACGGAGAACTGCCCCGGTGTTAAGATGGTTCTCACAGCGCTCAAGTGTGACTTGAGAAAAGATGAATTCGAGAATACCAACCCGAACGCTATCACGTACGAGCAAGGTCTAGAGAAGGCGAAGGCGATCGGCGCTGTGAAGTACTTGGGTAAGTAACGTTGATGCCATGCGATCTGGGAGAATGAGTCTTATTAACCATCCAATGACAGAATGCTCTGCCGTTCAGAATCGCGGCATCATGGAGACTTTTTATGAAGCAGCCAAGGTTGCCCTTGAAGTGAAAGTCTCGGGATCGAATGCTTCCAAGGAAGGATGTGTCATCCTGTAAACGGTTCTCCCGTTGCAACTCTTAGCTTCTTTGACGGTTTCTATCGTTTGTTCGTATACCCTTTGATTTGTTTCTTATCCGTTGCGCCCTTTGGGACTATCCACGACGAGCTGCAAACGTCCCAAACCGAGTGCAACTGATCTTTATTATGATGTCAGCTCTTCAGCCTATTTGTGTGGCTATTTACTTTTTTCTCTTCTTTATATATACTTTGCTGCATCTTCTTTCCTAATTATGTACGCTTAATATTCTGGAAAAGACGAACTGACCCAGCTTGGAATGGACTCCGGCAATCACGCTTTACTCAACTGAATCTTTCTACTGCCGGGTATCATGTTTCTGGGTCAATGGCAGAAGACCAGGAGAATCAGCTCTATTTATTACTATTGCTAGACCTGCAGATGTGTACTATCTACCAATTCATGACTCTAATTTTGGATTCCAGCTGCATAGCATAATCTACACAGCTCCGAAGCTAGTATCTATACAAACCCGCCAACCAACCACCTAATCCACCCCAAGCACATCCTCCTCCGTAACTCTATACACCCCCTCAATCTTCTCCCCCTTCGCACCTTCACCACAAGCAAAATCCTGATTTATCCTCTCCACAAACGCACTTACAAACCGCTCCGCAACCTCCCCAATCTCAACCCCAGACACCCCCTGCCCTTCCAAACTCGTCGCCTCCCTCCCCTCCAGCCCACACGCCACAATCTGCTTAAACCACCACATCGGCTCCTCCGTCACATTAAACCCAATCCCATAACTACTGATATTCCGCCGCAGATGCACCCCAACCGCCGTGACCTTCTTCGGCACTCCCTCCCCGCCCACCGGCGGCACCCACACCCCCGGATCCTCCGTAATCAATCCCCGGATCCCGTACCCGCGCAACACATCCACAACACTATTCTCCAGCACCCGGATATGGCACCTCGGCGTGAGTCCCAACCGCCGCAGGTCGAGGATCGTGTAGGCTACCATCTGCCCGGGGCCATGGTATGTCGTTTGCCCGCCGCGCAGCGTGGGGTGGTACTCTGCGCCGTTGGCGGAGGTGAGGAGCGAGCGGATCGGCTCGAGCGGCGGCGGGAGCGAGAGCGCTGCTGTGGGGCTTGTGTTGGAGGGTGGGAGGTCGCGGCGGCCTGTTGTGTAGACCGGGTTCGGAGTGAAGGTTATGATGGTTGGGTCCGGGGGGTTTGTGGTCGGCAGGGATTCTTTGGGAGTGAGCTTTTTGTGGGCGAGGAGTCGCGTTGTGAGGGTTTGTTGTAGGTTGGAGACCCGTGTGAAGGACGTTATGTCTGGGATGTGCAGGTGGGCGAGACGCATTTTGGTGAGGTTTTCGGTGGTGTGGTGTGTTTTAATTAGGGGCGCATGTTCTGGTTGCGTGCGATTGAGGGCTTTTTGACCGGCTTGGGGTCGTGGTGGTGCTGGATTTGGAGGTTGATGGATATTGCTGGTAGGGCCTGATTGTATGGGGTGCGGAGTACTCCGTATGTACTAGTAGTATTGGGATGTGATCATGTGATCGATGATGTCGACCGTTACTGGTGATCGGTTTAAGGACGGGGGTTTGAAGGTGAGTGTTGTTTTGAATACTTTATGGTAGGTGTTGTGTGATGTTTGATAGGTACTTTTTCTTTTGGTCCTTGTACTACGCATTGCGAGGTCTGTAGGGGTTGGACGGCCAGGCATGATCTTAACTCCGGCCATGTAGTTATCAAGCTGGGGAATGCTAGAGTCATCGCCTTAGATATCGCAGTGATATTGTCATATTATACACATGCGGGAAAAGAAGGGTTTTAATGCACGTCAATCGTAATGCACGACCGTCAGTCACTCGATAAAATTTCCTGTTATACTGCCAAAGGAAAATGAAACTCCATCGCGAGATGAGAAACTACAGCTATTGCGACTCCAAAGTACCATTGACCAACGGCGCAGATTGGCCTTCATCTTCCAGGACAACCTGCCAGTCCCGTACGCCTCCTTTCCAGTCTGCAATTCGACCCTCACGTACCCGGACGGTGACCACCCGGACGTCATCGTCGATAGCGATGCTGGGCCTCCGTTGGCCGGGTTGTTGCGGCTGCTGCTGGCCAAAGAGCCCCATTTCCTCCTCGAAAGTGTTGTTCTCCAGATGCTGCTCTTTGCACCAAGCCTCCTCCTCAGAACCAGGCTCCAGCACACGGGCCGAACCGGCGATGGTAGTAGAGATACTTGATAGTGCGCTCGTGTTCAGGTTCAACAGGAGACTGGCCAAGGACGAACGGGTTGCGGCGGGAGGCGGGGATCCGTCGCGCTGACCTCCGGGGTTGGGTGCACGAGTGGGCGGACGGTGTGACACCCAATCGTGGACAAGCAGGGAAACATGCGGATTGGTCAGAAGATGATTGGTCTTGCGAGAGGAAGGATTTGTAGTCATGATAATCGTTGGATACTGGTCGTAAGGCGTCGAGGGCAGGTAGGTATAGGACATGAGAGAGACATGAGGGGTCAGACCGTCACATGTTGCCAGGTGAAGCTAGCGACAGTAAGTCATTGTCTTCATAAAATTACCAAAGACCAATCCAAATCAATTTGTAGAGCGGAAACCTACAAATCGTGAATTCTTCAAGCATGCGATGACCTCTTGGGGCAGCGTGGTGGCCACATGTGGATGGGTTGTCGTGGCTGATGCCTCATATGAGAGGGGAGGGTTCAAAGTATCCGTCATGGTGTCTGCGCAGCGTATACGATACTAGTCATATAATGTTGTACAATGTTCACACAAAGGTTCCGATCGTCGATCTTAGCTGTCGATACAGGCTGAGCCGCTAACGAGAGGGAAAAGCGAAGCGTTGTTCCCGTGAAGCTGTGGCGGGGATTCGACGGTCGTAACCGCATTGAGCCGGAAACACTAGTCCGCTTCGGCTCGGATCAAGCTCGGACCATTTAGCGGCGGTTGCTTTCCCTTCGACGTCATCGGGTATTTGAGCTCTTTATGGGCAGTAATGCTACGTAGTAGTATTTGGAAGTCCGTGGTAATAGTACTTGGTACTTGTAATTATCCCCTTGCTCCATGTAGACATACTCCTGCAGATCCTAGGTGGCTTAGTTTGCCCCCAATATTAGGAAAAGATGAGCTGGACAGTTGTCTCGTCATGTTTGAGATCAATAGACGTGGAGGAGGATAAGCGTCGTTTTCGTCATAATAACCTAAGTTATGGAGCAAACCGCATTGCAGATCGGCGAGAACGTAGCAAATTACAGAACATGTCCGTTGTGTATGAGCGACCGATAATGTCGGACTTATTGTTCAATTGCAGCTGGTTCATACGTTTCTAAGTAGGTAGTGATTGCAATTGGTGGCGTTGCTCCTCCAAGCAGCCCAATCCGCAAGCGTGGCTGTACTACTAAGTACTACTAGTAGTATTGGGTGTCGTGACTGCCAGAGTCAAGACTTCTTCCCCGCACTCAAGCTGTTTCCCCAGCTTTCGCCTTCGACCTTCTTCCACCTCCCATCCTATCAGCTCTTCCATCTTCTGCAATCCGTGTGTCACTTAATTTACTAACTCTGCAACTTGTCACGATCTGTGGGCAGTATCCGGCAGCCATTGTCTGGATTTACTCTTCTCCGCCTGATCATCGCTGACGAACAAACTAACTGCTCTCATTTGATTCGAGTGTAACTCCTGCAACACCTCCCTTTTAACCGTTCGGCAAGCCATCGCGTGTCGACAGCAACCTTACCCCTGTCCTTCGTCTGTGCTTCCACATTGTCCCCCTCTCTTAAATCCCCTCTTGTATCCTCTTCATAGCGTGCCTACTCGTTGTCACCTCGCTGTTGTCAACTTGCGTCGCTGCCAACCAACTGTTGTGGTTGTCCTGTTTTGAAAGTTGCCCTTTTTTTCTGTTCTGTCAGAAGCATTTGTCTTAGCATTTTTTTTTATCTCGTCTGCACGGTATTTTGTTTGTATACGAATAACAAGCATGCTCGCACAACGCATTTTCCGACCGGTGTCCTCGCTGGTCCGGCCTTTGAGCTCCTCTGCTACTGCCTACCGCGCTCCATCCATTCGCGACATTACCCCCACCTCAGCCGAGGAATTTGTTGCGCGTCAGAAGGAGTTCCGCGAGAATTTGGAGGTGGCTCGCAAAAGAAAAGAACAGCAAGAGAGTCAGTCTGTCGATGCCTCTACTTCTGCCTCATCATCCCCTGTGTCCCGTGATCGCTTCCGTGAGTACGCTACCGCTCCCACTGCTCCGGGTGCGAGCAATGCGAGCAGTAACTATAGCCCTGCTGTCTTTGACGCTGCCCAAGTTCTTGATAATAAGGCATTGGGCTCACTTTCTACCCACCGTATTCTAGGAGAGGAACAACAGCAAGAAGCCAATCAATCGCCTAAGCGCGGTCCGTTGTCTTCGCTCATCTACGGAACGAAGGAAGGCCAGCAACTTGACAAGGATATCGAACGCTCGTTCTCCCAAGTCCTCGCTCGCGGCAAATACGTTCACTCGATCGTCTTCCACGAGGTCAAGCCCGATAGAGTAGACGAATATGTTGACTTGGTAGGGCAGTGGTACCCCCGCATGGCCGGCACTGAGGAAAACAGGGTGAATCTGGTGGGAAGCTGGCGGACGCAAGTGGGGGATAATGACACCTTTGGTATCTCCAATCAAACTTGATCCTTTCCTGACCCCTTGCCATATCTGTGGAGTCAGAGTGCTAACACTAGCTTTGCAGTCCATATCTGGGAATACCAACGGTATGAGGGCTATCACGCATCCCTTCACAACATCTCCCGTCATCCGGAGTTTCCTGAATTTGACCGCAAGCTGAAGAGCTTGATCAAGAGCAAGAAGACGTCACTGATGCAAGAATTCTCGTTCTGGCCAACGACCCCACCCCGACGACTAGGCGGTCTTTTTGAACTCCGATCCTACACTCTTCACCCCGGTAACCTTTTGGAGTGGGAATCGCACTGGAGAACAGGCCTCAGGGCTCGCCGCGAAGTCATGGAGGGGGTTGGCGCCTGGTTTGTTCAAATTGGCGACTTGAACACTGTGCACCACCTGTGGCAATTTGCGAATCTTGAAGAACGCAAGATTTGCCGGGAGCAGTCATGGGGTATCGAGGGATGGGCAGAGACGGTGCACAAGACTGTCCCTCTCATCCAAAGCATGCAGAGCCGGATTCTGATTCCTATGCCATGGAGCCCCGTTGGCTAAATGCATTGTACTCCATAGTCCAGGTCGATATGCGATGATAGGCAAGGTCTTCGGGAAGCGCCCAGTCCACGGCGAGTACTCTACCGAAGGAAACCGAGTATCAAGGTTGTGGATGAACCAAGATCAATGGGGCGCAAATACACTGTATGGCTTGGAGAACAGAGTCCGCCGATCTCTGGGGGAAGAATGTAACGGTTGCTCCAAGTTTCAGGCATTATTTACGGAGTACGGAAAGCTTGGTCGCTCCACTATCCACTATCGAATTTCAACTAAAGCAGCCATAGGGCTCTTAGTGTATCCAATCCGCACTAGCATTATCGTCATTTCGTTTATCATTGTATTTAGAAATGGATTCGGGAACATCGTTCCACTGGTCTTTTCTCCAAGTTTACGTGTATCACATTACTTCTTTCCCGATGGATTCATATGCTGCCTCGGGTTGCTACTAGCATGCTTTCTCTACCCCTCTTTTCTCTGCAAATGATGGACGACGATCAGGCAAGTGACAACCATCTGTGCGAATGCACCGTGGTCTTGGGAGATGACCCGGTCCTCCCAACAAAAATACATCCAGCGAATGAGAGGACACACGTGGGTTGAGGAAGCCGGCAGAATTTCTCCACCAAACTTCAATTCTGACGACTCTCGTAATTCGATGCGGATTCCTTTGCGACTCCCCGCGCGGCATTTCTGCAACAGCGGTTTTTGACCGGCAGAAAAAAAAAGAAAGTAATTAATGCCTGCTAAAAATTTAGTACTAAAAGGGAACATCAATCAACAAGAGCTGCGCGTATCCTGTTTTTCTTTCGTCTCGTTCGTATTTCGCTTCTTCCTTTTGTCTTTGGCTTCCTTTTCTATCCTTGGATCTTTTCGACAGCCCAACACCTACTCCCAGACTTTCCCTTGTCTCTAGTCCTGTTCTTTCCCCCTTTCGGAGTGACACCTTGCCTTACTGTCCTTAATTTCACCGCTATCTTTGTAAAGCCCCAAGGCCCCAAGCAAAAATATTTCTTCCCACCGTTCTCTTCGTAGCCGGACGGACAAGAAGAGTTTCTCCCTGGAGAACAAGACCAACGCAACATGGTGTACATCCGGCAGCATCAGCTGCCCAAATTGCGGGAATACCGCTATGCGGGCGTCGACCACTCGCTAATAAGCCGATATGTCCTGAAACCATTCTATAACAATATCGTGATCAAATGTTTCCCCATGAGCATGGCGTGAGTAGTGACGCTTCTTCATTCCCACCGGTATCCGGCCTGGCTAACAGCCTGCTTGCCTTAGTCCTAACGCCGTAAGTCTTTAATTCTCCGACTCATGGCAAGAACGGGAATTAACCGAAGACTGGTAGATCACCTTAACTGGTTTCTTCTTTGTGGTAATCAACTTCCTCACGATACTATGGTACAACCCTACTCTAGACCAAGACTGCCCATCTTGGGTTTATGCCAGCTGCGCCGTGGGATTGTTCTTGTACCAGACATTTGACGGCGTAGACGGTATTCAAGCGTACGACCTCTCTGCCCGTCTCTTGATAGTTGCACAACGCTAATCCGGTCATAACAGACGGAGAACTAAGCAAAGCGGTCCTCTGGGCGAGTTGTTTGACCACAGTGAGGCAAACCTACCCTTGGATGGCAACCCGGCACTAATTCATCTTTCAACCGACAGGCGTTGATGCGTGCAACACCGCTTTGGGAGTGTTGATCTTCTGTGCAGCAATGAACTTTGGCCAGTCATGGGCTACTGTTGTGACCCTTTGGGGATGTACGTCGTACTCTGTGCCAGGTAGTAGTCAAGAGGCTAACGTGAAATAGCAACCATGACATTCTATGTTCAGACCTGGGATGAATACTACACCCAAGTGCTTACCCTCGGCATTATCTCTGGCCCCGTGGAGGGTGTCCTGACACTTTGTCTGGTCTTTGGCCTCACGGCTTACATGGGAGGAGGTAGTTTCTGGCATCAGTCAATGCTGGAGACCGTCGGTGTTCCAAAGTTGGATGCCATCCCGGAGCAGCTGTACGACATGCCTTTTACGCAGTGGTATCTGGTCTACGGCGCGATTGTGCTCTTCTTCGCCACTGGATCGAGTATCGTGCATGTCATGCAAATTCGGAGAGAACGTGGACAGGACCCCATTGCACCACTATTTGGTCTCCTTCCCCTTGTTGCGGTGTGGGCGTTCGTGCCGGCCTATCTCTATCTTCAACCGACTATCTTGGAGAACTACATGGTCCCATTTGCCCTTTACGTGGGTCTGGTCAACGCATACGCGGTGGGCAGGATGATCACTGCACACCTGGTCAAGACCAGTTTCCCTTACTTTAATGTACTTCTTTGCCCCCTTGCTCTTGCTGTTCTTGACAGCGCTGGCTCCATTCTCGGTCTGTGGCCTAGCGTACTTGGCGGCGGAGACGGTCAGATTGCATTCGTATACGCGTGTCTCGGTCTGGCGATTGGTGTTTATGGAAGCTTCATCGTAAGTCCCTCTTGCCCCCACATGTTCCTCGACTCGAGACTCATCAGACCACAGCACGACATCATCACCACGATATGTGACTATATCGACATCTGGTGCCTTACTATCAAGCACCCCTATGTGGAGAAGCAAACCGCGAATGGACAAGTGGATGCAGTTGAGAAGAAGATGAGCTGAGAGATAGAGTGCCAAGATTTCAAGTGCATATCAACTATGCGAAGACTGCCGCCTCTCAGCTTCCCATGGTGAGTGTGTCATACACAGATGAGAGTTTCTTTCCGATTTTAAGTTTGCTGGATTCATGTTTCGGGTCAAGGCATTGGAGCGTTGGGTTGGCTTTCTGAATTGGGGGTCATGCTGTATAAAACTGAAACAAAGATGTCGGGCCATTCATCCTGCGATGCATATGGGCTGGAAACCTTTGCGTCACATGTGATGTCTAAATGTTTGATTAGGTTGATAGAACAATACTACCTTAATGTTGTAACGTGATCTTGGGGCAGAATGTCGAATGCCTGGTTGCCATATCGGGTCAAGGATCCATGGGACGAAGGGACGGTACAAAGTACCGCGGGGGATAGCAGGGAGAGTAATGACGACGGCAACAATGCGATGGCTCTGGAAGAGTCCATTCGGGAAAGGACCTTTGGGAACCTTGAACGCCGTGAGGTAAGCAGAATGGCGGCCGTTGATTGGGGGAGATTCGAAACGGTACGGGGTAAAGCTGCCGGAGCCGCCAAGACTCCTCAAAGAAGTAGTGTTAGCGAGGGCTTGAGCCCTATTTTCCCAGAAAGGGCCAGTGGGTTGAACGGGAGCAGTGAATTCCCTTCAGAGTTTGCCCTCTCCACGAGACCACCTTCTTCGTTCCTCACCCTTCAAGCAGGCCATCTCCATCAGCGCACCATTCAACTTTTATCGCTGATCGACTTTTAGTCTCGTCAAGATGGTAGGTTCTACCCCGTTTTGCCCACCCATTACCTCGCGGACATCCCTTCGACATAAGCAAAGATAAGGAGTGCGACTCTGCATCTCGTGCTCGCCATCGCCGTCGCCTCCCGAAGCCCGCTCCCATCGAAATCATCCAAGGCCACGCTGCTAACCAGAATTTTTCTCCCCCGACAGGTTCTCGCGGTCGACCTTCTCAACCCTACGCCTCAGGCCGAGGCCCGCAAGCACAAGCTCAAGGTATGATAAGACACCAATTCTGGGAACCGACAGAGTTGGTGGGTTTGGATGGCTGACTGGTACCCTCCCGACGTTATAGCAACTTGTGCCTGCTCCCCGCTCCTTCTTCATGGACGTCAAGTGCCCCGGCTGCTTCACCATCACCACCGTTTTCTCCCACGCCCAGACCGTCGTCGTCTGCGCCGGCTGCTCGACCGTCCTCTGCCAGCCCACCGGTGGCAAGGCCCGTCTCACTGAGGGCTGCTCTTTCCGCAGAAAGTAGATGTCACGGCGCAACCAGGCTGGAGCGATGATGAAAGACATGTGGCGTTTTTCGATGGATTAATCTAATCTTTTCTTTGAGCAAAACTCAGATAGAAGATGGAGTCCTCGCCCCCTTGCGAGAAAACCCCTCAAAAAATACAAAGGTTCGAAGGGAAATGAGAAGTACCCAAGCAGGCGCAGCCATTTCTATACCAAGTTTCCACCAAAAAGCGTACATGGAGGGAGTTCCGGATATCTGGCAATGATCGGTCCATACTATATCAACCTTTGCCTCTTTTTTGACTACTATCGAAACGTTGTTTGCTTTTATTCTTGTTTTATGCTGTGGGATCCGTACGACATGATCTTCTCCCGACACCTTTCCCGTCATGGAAGGATATGACGGGTGGATCCCACCATGGGGCATATCTGCATGAGCGTTGCCGGTTGATTCACGTATTCGGATGTCAAGGGATTTGAGTGTACATTCCTCCCCTATGACGAAGATGAATAACTGGTTGCTGGCATTGCTAGGACGGCGGATGTGACTACGGGTGAAACTTGGATCCAGTCCGGCAGATAGCGCTTGGTGCTGGCAGGATGTAGAAATACGGTCCTGTTGTAGGCTAGCCTATCTGATCCGGACGTTCAAGCCGTGTACATCCCTCGATGCTATGCAATTGTATTCATGTTCCAGATTATCCCGTGGATTGCCCTTGTAGTACCCTTGTAGTACCCCTGTAGAGATGATCCCCGTAAGTACCTGGTCCCACTGTAGAGTAGATGAACGCAGCCACTGCCGTACATTGCTTTGGACGGTGGAGTACTATTTAGGCCACATCCGTCCTAGGCGTCTTCATCCTCTGTAGTATAGAGAGTTGGCTGCTCCACAGTGGAGCCTTTTTAAACATGTACTTCTAATTACTGCGTAGATACGCGCTTCCTATAACCCCCTCTATCTTCAATTCCCGGTCTCAATATCCTTTAATTGAAGAATCTAGAATATGCAATATACCCGCGCCGGTGGTCTATTTCTAAATTCCGCTCGACATTCGGACGTTACCTGATTTTCATAAGGAGAATATCGACTAGTTTAATATTCCCACGTCCCGTTCACACTAACATTGAACTAATCCAGACGTAGCCAGCAAATCCTCCAGGTTCTCTCCCATGTGGTGCAAGCCCTGGGAATTAATTGGACGCTCGTAGAGGCCTTAATTTAAAGCCAACCTCTCTAGACTGAGGAGGACTATTTAGGTAAGGAGGTAGCGTTAAGCGACAGGATCAATACTTGTATTGTCATCACCGTTGCTGCCAGTGTTCCTTGTCTCTCTACTATTCGAGAAGCATGGAATTTCCCTCGTGTTAAGTTAGCTTTGTATGCCGGTACATTATAGTATTCTTTAATACTCTATAAAAAACTTGTACACATCGACAACCCCGAAACGAAGTCAACCATGGCCATTCAGTCGCTTTCACAACCAAGCCCTAGTTTCAATTCCAACTAGATCCTATCTCATACACGCACCACAATTCCAAACAAACCAAAACATGTCCAAGCTTTAGACAGCATTAACCGCCTGGGCCTTCTGCTTGATAGAATCCCCAAAGTCCAGTGAACCTCCCCCCATCATGAGCATCATCTGTGCCATGGGCCCGCTGCCCTCGATCAGCTGCTCAGAAAGAACATTGCGGCCGCGGATATCCTGGAACTCTTTGACGGTGGCGGGGTCTGCCGACTGGAGCTTCTGGGCGTCGATGCTCCTCAGTTTGTTGTGGGTGTTGCGGATGAAGTCATGGATGTAGAAACCCGTTGGGTGGGGTTGGCTGCCGGTCATCATTGGGTGGGATTCGATGGCTCTGTTTGAGATGGTTCTTGGTTAGTTCATGTTGGTTGTGTTTACTATTGTTTTTGTTTCTTTGGGGTTTGACGTATGGTAGAGAGGTAAAGAAACGAGTGATTGGTATTGGTATAAGAACGTACGCCAGGAGCTCGCTCATGCGGGTGTCGAGGGTCTGGATCTTGTTTGCGTCGGCCATTCTGGGTGGTTTTCGGGTTTATTGTTCTGATAGGGATACTTCGATAATAGTGATGATGGGATTTGGTATAGATGGATGTCTTTGTTGATGTAGATTTTAAATTTAAAGAGGGGTTCAACTTCTTTTCTCCACTTGGTGGCTTATCTTATCGCCTGATTGGTACCTGAATGCGTTCTTCAGGAAATAAGGAATGGAACCAGTCCAAGTTGGACTCACTTTTTAGAGGGGTACGGGGTATGGTTCTTTGTTTCTGAGTTTCGACATCATGCTTAACGTGCAGGTAGGTATTTATGTATACACACACCCTGGGCTGAGTGCAATTGTTTCTGGAAGTTCAGGAACACAGAATAATACTCGTGTCTCTCTTGAGTATACACCTCGCATGGCGACCTATAGTAATGCCTGAAACTTGCCAAGGAAAAGGAGTGCCAGGGCCACCCATGTATTCTGTGTAGTACTTTCGGTCTTGTTGTTTCGCAATATTCAGCCTCGGGTATTTTGAGCCACCTTCCCCAGGGACCTAAAAGTGCAGTGTCACAGGGAGGAGTTTGTGCATGCAGATGCAGTATTCATACTTACATGATCTGGTGGACGTGTTGGCTTGTTATAGGTCCTCCCATGCTGTATACTCCCACAGTGCATGATTCTGATGTAGGTGTATACCTACAATCACATACATGCAAGTATGTGCCTTCGGGACAGGGTATCAAGAATCACTGAACTGATCTAGTATTCCATGTACTCGGAGAAAAATACACTAGCTAGGATGAAACTCCAATTGATTCCCACGTCCTGCAATGCAGTGCCAAACTGGTCTGTTTCTATACATACCATGGAGGGGGAAAATAATGCCACCCTTTCCCGCCTTCTTATCTTATCGATTCTACGATACAATCCATCAAACTAAACCATACTCATTCCCCGATCAGATCATCTCATCATCCCAACGAATCCTCCAACAGCCCCTCCAATCCGAACCCTCCTCAACCCATTCCGACAAATAACCAAAAGAGAGAAGGGGAACCAAAACCTACCAAAAACAAGCCAAAATGTCCAAACAACCCCTCAAACTCCTCATGCTACACGGCTACACGCAATCCGGGCCGCTCTTCCACGCCAAAAGCCGCGCCCTAATCAAGCACCTCACGAAAGCCTTCCCCCTACACGACGTCACAGCCACCTACCCGACGGGTCCCCTGCGCCTCAACCCGGCCGACATCCCCGGCTATGAGCCCACGCAAGAAACCCCCGCCGAGCCCCTCGAAGCCTACGGCTGGTTCCGGCGCTCCAACACTGCGTCGCCGCCCGAATACCTGGGGCTCGAGGACGGGCTTGCGGCCGTCGCAAAAGTCATGTCCGAGGAGGGCCCCTTCGACGGCGTGATCGGGTTCTCGCAGGGTGCCGCCATGGCCGCCATGGTGGTTTCGTTGCTCGAGCCGGGCCGGAAGGAGGCGTTCGAGAGGTTTTTGGATGCCAGTGTTGCGTCGGAGGGGAAGGCCGAGGCTGATGCGGTTGTCTCGGGGGTGCCGTTTCCGAAGGCGTTTGAGGGCTTGAGTCACCCGCCTTTCAAGTTTGCGCTGTGTTATAGTGGGTTCCGCTCGCCTGGCGCCCGGTATCGTGGGTTTTACGAGAGTCCGGCGTTGCAGACGCCGATTTTGCATGTCTTGGGGTCGTTGGATGCGGTTGTGGAGGAGTCGAGGAGCAAGGCGCTGGTGGAGGCTTGTGCGGGAGATCCGGAGAAGGAGGGGAAGGTTGTTTGGCATCCAGGTGGTCATTTCTTGCCGAGTCAGAGGCCGTATTTGGATGCTGCGGTGCGGTTTATTAGGGAGCAGTTGGAGGGTGGTAACAAGAAGGATGCCGAAGAGGAGGATGTGAATGATATGGACTTGCCCTTTTAGATTATAGATCTAGACTTAGAGTGTTTTGCTTTGTCTTCCTCTATAGACGCCCATGGAGATTGTCTGATGATATACGATTAGCTTGGGGAAATGGCATGGCAATCGCCGGCGCAGCATCATGTATATAGCATGCAAAAGCATTAATCCATTTCTAGATAGTGTCTCGTAATTTTACACGCCGTGAAACCAGCGCCATTGCATAATCGCTGACCACTTTCTAAACCAACCCGCTTAACGGGCCTTGCCCTTCTCCCGAGTGGGGAGGATACGGGCCATCATCTCTTCCTTGGTGATCAAGTGATCAATGCGCTCCAAGAGCCCCAAGAGGCTCTTCATGTCGCTACTCCATTCGTTCAACACGTCATCAGCATCGCGCGGCTTGGCGAAGTTGATCAGCCGCGCGGGACGGTCGATCTTCGCATAGATTGTCTTCGATGTGACCAGTTCACTGATATACTTCTCCGTCTCTTCCTCAGTCAAGTCCAAAAGCTGGGTCAACCGGCCCATCTGGATCCGCGTGTAATATTTGGCCACGACGCGGACATTGTGTTCAATAACCCGCTTCCGAAGATCTTGCCACCTCTTGAATGATTGGTCGTCTGCAGACTGGCTGGCCTGCGGGCTGAAGACATCGGTATTGCACAAATGGGGGCCGAATTGCTGTCCAATGGCCGGCCAGCGCATCAATTCGCTGATGGTGAAAAACTTCAGAAGCCGGTTCTCCACGGGGACCATGGAAATTCGAGAGTCCGATTGGATACGGTGCAACAGATCTGACTGTTCGTTGTCATATGGAGACAGGATGATGTAGTAGATAATCCGGGCCAGAACCTACGTGGTCATTAGCTTAAGATAAGCAATATCATGCCAAACAGGAGTACTTACTGCTCGCAGCTGCTCTGGGTTGTTCTCTACCGACTCCGTATCCAGCACTTCCCGATAATGTTTACAGACATCCAGGTACTTGTAATCGTGGTTTGAAAGGATGATTTGTTGTTCATAGTAGCGGAGCTTCAGATCCGTTACATCGTCATCAACTTCCATCGGGGGCTCATCCGGAGCACGGGTCTTCTCCCTCTCCTCGGCTTCCTTCTTGAGCTTCGCGATCTCCTCGGGGCTCTTCTTCGGCTTGCGGTTGAAGTAACGCTTATTGATCTTGCGGCTCAGGATAGTTGCTTGTGTCCAGTCGCCACGCTCTATGCAAAGGGCCACTTGTTCCAGGATAAATTCGGTCTTCTCTCTTCTGGTCATCGATCCGAATGTCTCAACTTGCAGTTCGCAGAGGGTGTCAGCGGCGGCATTGAGATCGCCTTGGGATTTCTTAATATTCGACAGAATGCGGGTGACGCGGGCTCTTTCGACTTCGACAAAGATCTGTGCAGTGTATTAGCCATAAGCTGGACAAGACAGAGGCTGTCGAGGTACCCACCTTTCCCTCAGTCACAGTCCGGAGGGTCTGGATGACAGACAACTTCACATCCACGTTGGGTGTCTCATCCAGGAATCCCATTACCACTTGCACCATCTTTGTAATGGCTTGTTTAAGTTGGCCATGCTTCTTGGAGAGAAGAAGGACTTGGTCGTTGAGAAGGCTCCAGTCGCCGGAGTTTTTGCTGAGCGTTACGATAGCGACGAGAAGACGGGATGTAGTTGGGAGATCAGAGGCCTGAGTTAGAACTCTGTCAGCATGGCAGAACATCCAGCAGGGGCTGTCATATGTCATACCTGTCTTGCTTGTTTCTCCAGTCCGAGCAGGCTGTCAATAGCGCGTTGAGCGTCGGTCTACCAGTCATGTCAGCATCACACTCCAGTATAGCCATATCAAGCAAATCCAACCTTGGCGATCTCCTCGGCCTCGGGAATTAGCTTGTCAGCATCCTTGGAGAAGTCCTTCTCCGCCTTCAATAGTCCGTCAGCCATGATGACGGATGTTATGACGAAGTTTGACGCTTTCGGAGTTTATGATAGAGGGTATCAAGACGGAAGAGTTAAGAGTTCCGAAACCGAGGGATGGGAGGTAGATGGTGAGAAGATGCAACTGATAGCGTAGTGACGGGCTGAGGATGGGAACGAACATGGAGCTTGACGTCTACTTGCCAGTCAAGCTGCCCGAAGCTCTACGTCACGTGATATTGACTCTAGTTGGGTGACTAAGGCATCAGCCAGGTCAACATCAGGGGAAGTACAAAGGAGGCTTCGTCAAGTTCCTGGCCTTCCGTGTTTACTTTCTATTTGCATTTTCCTCCCCAGATGGGCATCATGGGTGTTCTATGTCAATCCCAGTCTTATCTTGATTGAAGTTCGAGGATTTCCTGTTGGATCCTTCCAGTGTTCTAATATGCTGATCGTCAGAGAACCACCATGCTGCATTTTCGGTTGTCTTGCAGCGACCACACGAGCTTGATCGGTGAGAAACATCGCAAAAGGAGGCAGTCAAACTGAGTAAACATCCTCATTGCGATGCGGCTAATGAGCTTCAGGCTGATTCACGATGACCATGTGCGGGGCTTAGATAAGCAACGAAATGCACGATCACGCAATATCGCTTTAACCGCATTGGGAACTACAGAGAAATGTATATAAAAGCAAGAGTCACAATTTCAGATGACTGATAAATACCTTGGTTGCATGGGATTTGCTTTATCAATCGCCTAGATAGGCTTATCAGACTGCGCAACTTTGATTGTCAGGAGAAACTCAATCCTTATCTTCAATTCGCCTCTCATTCGGTTGCGTTGAGCCTATTTCCGCGGACATTTGTGCCCGCAAGCAATCATATTGACTGGGGACCCCTCTACCATTTCGGTGATTGTGGGGTAAAGGAATAAAAATCACTCAACTTCCGCTGATTCTGCCCTCCCACATCTTCACAATCATCTCGTTAGTATATTAAGAAAGGCCATTCGGAACAGCGGGGTTCACCTGCGGTGGCAACTTGGCACAATGAAAGACGCATCGTGCGATAACGGATCTCCAGCACCGTTGCTGACGGCGGTCTATGCTGAATCTCAAGTCCATTTGATTGTCGGTGGAAATCCTCTTGCTGCAGCCCGTTGTGCGAAATCCATAGAAGCCGGCGCAAAGCCGGTCATCATTGCGCCAGACACTGGAGACCTGCATTTCAGCTTGTCCGAGCACATTGAGAATGGTTCCGTACAATGGGTACGCAGAGAATTCCAAGATGATGATCTGAAGACTCTGGGCAGGGAAGAGGTCGACCATGTCGTTGACACGGTTTTTATCACCCTTGGTGGAAGTCACCCGTTGAGTATGTGCTGATCTTACAAGCTACCGAGGAATACGGTCTAATTAATTGATAGGTACACATATCTCGAAGCTTTGTCGGCGGCTTAGAATTCCTGTCAATGTTTCTGATGCCCCAGAGCTATGTACTTTTAGTTTACTTTCTACGTACTCAGATGGCCCTCTTCATATTGGGATTACGACCTCAGGGCGTGGTTGCAAGCTTGCATCTCGTTTAAGAAGAGAAATATCTTCTTCCCTCCCCTCCAATCTTGGAGCTGCAATAGACAGATTGGGGGCCGTAAGAAGGCGCCTCTGGGCGGAGGACCATGCAGCAGGTCTGTGCACTGCATCCCTCGAAGGAGATGAGGATGATTTCACCGGTCAAAGCCATACGTTCAACAAGTTAGTGACAGAGGATGACGTCTCTGCGGCAAAGACACGGCGGATCCGCTGGCTCTCCCAGATATGCGAATACTGGCCTCTTCAAAAGCTCGCTGCTATCAGTGATGCTGACATCGATGCCATTCTTCAAGCATACTCGTCTGGTAAAAATAACCTGGATAGCACCAATGGGGTGGGCCACCTACAAAAGAAAGGGAAAATTGTTTTGGCGGGTTCGGGCCCTGGACACCCAGACATGCTCACGCGAGCAACCTACAATGCGATTCAGAATGCAGACATTATCCTCGCAGATAAACTGGTTCCAGAACCTGTCCTGAAATTAATTCCGCGGAGAACAGAAGTTCATATTGCGCGGAAGTTCCCTGGGAACGCGGATCAGGCACAAGAGGAATTCTTGCAAATGGGGCTGGATTCACTGCGTCGGGGACGGTATGTCCTTCGGCTAAAGCAGGGAGACCCTTATTTGTACGGAAGAGGAGGCGAGGAGTTTGAATTCTTCCGAGGTGAAGGGTATACTCCAATTGTCTTGCCCGGAATTACTAGCGCTCTGAGCGCTTCTTTGTTCGCAGAGATACCTGCAACTCATCGGGGCGTGTCCGACCAGGTCCTGATTTGCACTGGTACGGGAAGAAAGGGTGCAGCTCCCGAGCCTCCTACCTACGTTCCCACTCAAACAGTCGTCTTTTTGATGGCATTACACCGACTATCGGCGCTAGTGGAGTCGTTGACTACGCTACCCCAGGAAGGTTCGCGCCCACGAACCCCTTGGCCAAAGGATACTCCGTGTGCGATTATTGAGCGGGCTTCCTGCGCTGATCAGCGAGTGATCCGTTCTACTCTCGAAAATGTGTGCCTCGCATTTGAAGCCGAGGGATCACGGCCACCTGGATTATTAGTTGTTGGGGCCAGCTGCCACATTTTACATCCTCACAAGGACGAGAAGTGGACTGTTGAAGAAGGGTTCCGTGGTTTGGACGACCTACGGAATGAAATAGTCCCGGAGAACGACCAGAAACATGATTAAAAAAGGCTACGTTTCTAATGACGTTTTATGGCTGATGATGTTGCGGAGGCACTGGAGCTCTGGAGTTGTATATAGAGATACCCATATGTACTAGATTTCACGAGGAACGTTGCTGGTTATTATCGATAATTTCCCTATGTATATATTTCATTTCTCCTTAAGTTCAAATAACTAACGGTAAAATATCACTAGGTATCCAGATAACTTCTCAGTCTGCGTAGTAGTATGTTCGCAGGAAACATAAATGCCAGATACTGAGTTTAATATGTCTAGGTAGGACTGTTGTCTCTGCCTGGCTTTGACGGGACACTCCAGTCACTAGTCAATTTACCCGATATGGAAACTGCTGCCTTAAAGTGGAACTCGAATCACGAGTTCCGGCGCTAAGATAAAGCACGCCAATCCCCATCTCATGAATGCCACTTACCACCGCGCTTTTACCGTCATTAACAGAACCAACACCGTCTGGTCACTACTGTATCATGTCGTCGAAACCTCAAACCTATCTGTCCAATGGACAGGTTCTTGGAAGGTAAAGAAAGAGCCACCTAACGCTTTTGATGGACAACTCACTGACGGACTGTGCCTTATCTCAGCCCGCCCCTCTGGGTTCGCATCAACCGCTTTATCGAAAACATTTATCTCTTCCTGGGCCTCTATTTCGTGAGCCTTTTCTCGGTACGTCATGGATTATATTCTTCTGCCACCAAAATATCCCATAATTCCCCGCGCTGTCCAGCGGCCCTGTCTTACCTTACCACCATCATACTTGTCCATATCATACTGACACGGACCACAGTTTGACCCATACACGGCTGCGCAGAACTCGCGATTCAATATCAACCGTTCCCAAAATCACCCGAATACTAGAGCTCGCTGGGGAGGCAGTGGTGGATCCGGTTCCGGAGGCGGCGGCGGTGGCGGACCCGGTGGATTTGGACCTAGGAAGATTGGGCGTGTGGACGATATTCGGGGGCCAGAGTGCAAAAGTTGCCGCTGAGTTCAATTAGTGGAATTTTGGTGTTTTGAAGGTTAATTCAAGAGTGTTGCGCATGGCACAATGAGTCGTGGTGTTGGGTTGGATTATTATGATACCGGTTTCTATATCTTTTACTTTATTATCGATAGGACGAGCACCTTATATTGGTAGTATTCCCGATCGAAATCCAGAAACAACCCTTTTCTAATGGCCTTCGTGGGCATAAGATGCGGTAAGTTGTAACTGTTCTCCATGTGATGCTCATTGAGATATCATCACGTGACGATATTTCTCCGCATTTACGAGAGAGAAATTCGCTATCCCCAGAAATTCACGACAAATCCAAACGTGCTCTTAAACTACTTAAACGTCTGAAATAGAGTCTAAGTCTTAGAGTTGGTTGAGCTCGTGATAGCATTTGACAGCACACATCTACCTAACCTGTGACAGTTTCCCTTACAGCAAGATGTCTATCCCAAAGGACGACGGAGAGTGGGCTGCTCTGATTTCTACTATCAAAGCCTCACTTCCGGAGAATTTCCCGGAATACCAGACACCATTACCATCTGAAGTTAATCGTACGATCGATCACACCCAGTTGGCGTTGGCTGCGACAGAACAGCAGATCGACCAACTGTGCGCCGAAGCGCTTCAGTACCAGTTTGCGACTGTCTGCGTCCGCCTGAACCATGTCCGTCGCGCGGTACAGGAACTCAAGGGAAGTTCCGATGTGAAGGTGGCTTGCGTTGTGGGATTCCATGAGGGCATGTATGAAACCTCAGAGAAAGAGCAGGAAGCCCGGGATGCAGTTGAGCAGGGAGCCGCCGAGCTGGATATGGTTCTCAAGTATCCTCTGCTGAAGGAAGGAAAGTATACGGATGTCTACACAGATATACTGGGTGTGCGAAAGGCAGCCCCGTCGCCGATTAGACTGAAGGTCATCCTGGAGACTTCGCAGCTCACACGCGAGGAGATTATTGCGGGGTCTGTCATTGCGGATGTGGCTGGTGCTGATTTTATCAAGACCAGCACGGGATTCAATGGACCTGGTGCCAACATTGACAACGTGGCCCTCATGCGAGCCACTGCGGGTTCGGTAGGCAATGGATGCAAGGTTAAGGCTAGCGGAGGAGTGCGATCAGCGGAGGACTGTATTCGTATGCTGAAAACAGGAGCTGAGCGGATTGGCACTAGTTCCGGGGTGAAAATCATGCAGGAATTGAAAGGAGAGGCAGTTGGTGAGCAAGGAGCGCAGCAGGGTGTATATTAGGGTGATGCGCAGGCATTATGATAGTGGCCTGTCACCAAATCTGGCATGTTCCTGATGATCCAAAGTGAATCGGAAACTGATTGGTAGTGGTACCTGAACCTGTCGACCTCCCTTTCTGGATGGTGAAAGTGTAGACAAATTAAAGTGCGGCAGGCGCCAAAGGTTCCATAAGGCGGTGGAGACCGACGTCATCAGCAACCATCCTCATCGGTCAAATCATCTCGGTGTCCATAATAACAAACCTGTCGATTAGTCAAAGGGATTTTGTGCGAAATATTTGCGATCCAATACAAAACACAGATTCTTATCCCATGCTCCCCTCGTTCTCTGCTCCAAGACCCCCTTCATCCCCTCACCCGCGGCCCAAGATGCGACGTCCCGGCGTTCCCAAGGTATATATATACTTCCGACTTCTCCACATCCCTTACAGCCAAGTACTGACTCAATTGGTCTTAACAGAAACGCAAGACCTCTCATTATCACGACCAAACCGATTATAATGGCCATTCAAGTAATATTTTTACCTCGAAGCCTACCGCTGTTTTTACCCCAACTGGTGGCCGATCGCATACATTGACTGTCGCTATCCCAGGCAGCATTGTGGCCAAGTATGTAAAGACCGTGTCGCATGACTAGTTTCGTTTCTGTTTCACTGGGACGACACAATAGAAAAGTGATACTAACGAGGCTCTTAAAAGTTCTCATTCTGTGGAGCAAAAGACTATTTTGGCTGGTATCATCGCACGTGCTCTCGCTGTCTTTTGTGTTGATGAGGTAGTGGTGTTCGATGACGATGAGAATAGTCCGCGCGATGAGTACCACGGCCAGGGAGATTATTACGAGTCCCCTATAGACAAAACGAGTGACGAGCTCAACGGCAATGACTCCTCCGCTAAACGGTATACCGGATACTCGGACCCATCGCATTTCCTGGCGCATGTACTTTCATACCTCGAGACCCCACCATATCTTCGTAAACATCTCTTTCCGATGCACCCGAATCTTCGCGGAGCTGGCTTACTGCCCAGTCTCGATATGCCACACCATCTTCGTGCCAACGAATGGTGTGACTACCGTGAAGGAATTGTGATATCGAGTTCCGATGGTGAGGGGCAGAGGAGGCATAGCACACAGATGAGCAACTATCACCATAACCGTCGTCATTCATCCAGTAGCCCTACTAATTGTAGTGCTACCGTGGTCGATACCGGTCTTCCTAAAAAGGTCGTCCTCCCGGACATCCAGCTGCCTGAATATGCCCGTGTAACCGTCCGGTTCTCCGAGCAGGGTCCCGAGCACTATGCGCAGCCCGTACATCCTTCTACTCCTCGCTCTGAAGCTGGGTACTATTGGGGCTACTATGTGCGTCGCTGCCGATCTTTGTCGTCTGTATTCACCGAATGCCCATTCGACGGTGGTTACGACCTCTCCTTTGGAACTTCCGAGCGAGGCGCCCCAGTCTATTCGGTTCTAGAGGAAGAACGACAAGAGCATGATAATTATGACCGGCGGAAAATCCCCCCGGACTACAAGCACCTCCTTGTTGTGTTCGGTGGTGTAGCAGGGATCGAAGCGGCAATTCACAATGACCCTCAACTATGCGACATGGAAATTCGCCCGACCGAAGCTGGGAAGCTTTTCGACTACTGGGTCAACCTTCTTCCTGGCCAAGGGAGCAGAACCATCCGCACCGAGGAGGCCGTTTGGCTGGGCCTGACGAGTCTCCGGGGCTTAGTGGAAGGTACCCATCGGCCGAGACCATTGTATAGATCGAGCAGCTTTCGTTCTTCGACGAGCTACGAGTAGAGTTGTATTGGCACTTTCCAGGTGATGTTTATGCTGCATCCTCTCTTCCTTGATATATTTGTTTGCTCTGCTATGGTGCCGTCCGGAGCGGATGTGCAAGACTGTCTTGGCCAACAGTGGTAATCGTTATCTTTTTATTACTTGCCGTCACCAAATATGCCATCATGTCATTGACCGACGATCAAACGCTCAAGAATGCGACTTGTCACTCCTGTCACGCAAAGAATTTGCACTGCTCCAGCGTATTAATTGACTTATCTAGTATGTATTGGTATTTTGTCCTTCTCCTTCATTCGTGGAATGATGATCCGACATCATCTGGAATTCTGTCGCGTCGCAGTTTATTCCTTTATCTTTGGCGATGCTTCTGGAATGGGCGTCTGGGAAATTGGTTGATTTAGTGTAGCGTATGGTGGAAATTAAAGGCACCACATTTCATTTCAAAGCATTCCGTTGTTGGGTTGTCCATTTATTAGTCACTTCATTGCGAGGAAACAATAGAAGGTAGAATAAGCGCCACGGTATAGCAACTGTGGCGTCAGTCATTCCTATATACAATGCGTACAAACAAAGTATAACCTAACGAGCCTCTCACCATCTATGAAGTTGAACCTTAACTTTTGAACCAAGCGCCTTCGTAAATCAAGATAAATTAGACATGACAGGGCCGTGCACAGTTTATGGAAAAGAATTATGACAGGAAGAAGATTGTAAAACGACAGATAGCAGTAAAGAGTAAAAACAATCACTCATCACTGCTCTGATCATCCGAGTCACTGGTCTGCATAGCTTCCTCGGCTTCCATCCTTCGGACGATGGCGTCGCCTTTCTTTCCCTTCTTCTCAGCCGCAAACCAAGCCTCCCGTTTACGGGTCTCGCGTTCTTCTTTCCGGGCTTGTCGGATGACCTTTTCTCTCTGTGCTTGGTCTTGTTTCTGGTGGAGTTCGTTGATGTAGTCGTTTAGATTGGCGAGGTCGGAGCGAAGCTTTGTTACCTCGTCTGTAGTGAGTTGACGGGCGGCCTCATTGGCTGTTGTTTTCTTTTTGAGGGCTGCAAGTTCGCTTTCTAGGTTTGCTATCTGTGAGTCCTTTGCTGCGAGGTCCTCATAATTTGTGGCTTGTGTCATCATGGGCGAGCCTTGGGCGGTGCTGCCTCCCGGTTGGTTAAAGGCAGCTAGCTCAGCGAGACCTTCTTCGATCATTGAGTCGGGGAAGACAGCTTGAGTGAAAGCTTCTGTGAACTGGTTTGTTCGCTCGGAGCCATCGAGGTTCCTTGCTGTGGCGGGCTTGAATGATGTTGAGTTGAGGAGGTGGGTGCTGAAGGTGTAGTCGGCAGGTACGGCGCCTGCAGCTTGAGATGATTCCGACAGGCTACTGTCGTATCGGGGTTTCACGATTGTGTGTGCTACCCTTTTCAGATCCTGGCCGGGGTTGGGGAGGCCAGCCAATGGGAGCATATGAAGGTTCGTCACGGGATGTGTGTAGTCTGCTACGGTCGTGGCGTATTTCTTTCTGCCGACATTCCATGAGAGTACTTTTCCGTTCTGGTGGCCCGATAACAGGGTCATTCCATCGTAGGAGAGTGAGAGCGACTGCGCGGCGCCGCAGTCGGCGGACGGCGGGGACCATTTCTCTTCCGCGGAGGGTTGGGCGGGGGTAGACTGTAACGATGGGTCGTGGAGAGGATGTTGGAAGGATTGGGATTTGTATAAGTCCACTGATTGGATGCTGCCATCTTCATAGCCGACGTAGAATGCGCGGTCAACTGGATCAAGAGCTAGGGAGACTGCGCTGGAAGGCAAGAGGAACGTCCGCAGGACGCGTCCGGTGCGATAGTCCCAAGCGATGGCTGTGTTATCCTGCGCTGTCGAAACGGCGACGTTGTATCTCCCGGAGCTGTGTCCCACGGCAAGTGACGTGATAGCAGCGCGGTGGTTCGAGAATGTACGGATGGGGGAGTTTGGTGGTTGCCGATCCCGGCCGGATGGGAGCTTTGTGAAAGAAAGGATGTCGACTAAAGACCAGACATGGATACTGGCATCGGAGGAGCCGGATAGAATGAAATTGTCACTGGGGTCAACGACTAGGGTGGTCACTGGGCTCAGATGGGATGCTGTAGTCGCGACTTGACGTCCAGTGCAAGTCTATTAATAGAGCTCATGTTAGATTTGTTCGACCAATCGCTTCTTCCCCCGCATAGTGACGCAGTAGATTTAAGTTAAACTCACTTCCCATAAGATCAGACGGCCCCCTTCGGTACCCAAGACCAAGACGTCGCCATTCTTGCTCCCCGCAATCGCAATGCTGCGAATGCGCTCCGGGAAGGGAATAACGGCCTCTTGATTCCCTTTCTCCCTGCTGTACACGTGGACAATGGCTTTCTCCGCCTGAGCTGCGTACACATGTGACGGGCTCACAGCCAGGCAATTGGCCGGAGTCGAGCTCTTCTTGAAGGTGGAGCGGAGGTTGGGTGACGGTTGAAACTCATGAACGCAGATCCCTACATCGCGGAGACTCGCTGACGCCGGGGCTTTGCCCGACGTCAGGGTAGCCGCAATAAAGCACTCCGATAGCATGAGGAACGCTGTCGAAGGGCAAAGAAAAATTATTCGAGTCAAAAGGGGTGGCGAAACTGGCAATGTTCCTGCTCTTTTTCCCGCTCTACATTTTTTTTTCTCTTAGGATCGGCGATAAAAGCAGCGATAAAGGTGAAGTTTGCACTGTTTGTCTCGGAGGTGATTGATCGCCCCAAAAGGGAGATGGACTATCGAGTTACTATCCTCTCCTGTCGGAGTACTTTTCCCGGCGATTTTTATGGACTGTTGGGAAAATCACATTGCACCATGGTTCCTTTTGGAATCCCTGGTCTCCCTTCTAGGAGACCTCCTTTGATCCCTGATACAAGAAGTCTATTCCTTCGCTAACATGAAGCATGACCCTCGTGACAACAGACTGGGAGTTGAGGCTACCCGTAGCAAGAAGCCCAAATTTTAAGTAGACATCGCGCGCCCCCGGATGGCATTTGTGGCATCTTAATATTGACAGTCCAGATCTCCGCAATTCCAGACCATTGGAGGCTTTGCACATGCTGGTTATTGCGGCCACCTCCAATAATGGAGCAGATCACCGCGCTCACAACAATTGAAGCAAGGGGGTCATTCAAGGGGCTCCGACTTTGATTGCCCGGTGCAACAGTCCTGCTGAAGATCGGTTCATGGCGTCTTTTGCGGGTCGCTTTCAGAGCTTTCACTGTGTCCCTGCGGCGGCTTGTCTCAATTCATTCCGTAATGACGAACGGCAATGGTCCTGAAGAGCGGATCCTCCACGTTGTGACGCTCCTGCAGGTGGCGCATATCGAGGCTTAGAGCCAATAGTCATCGCGGCTGTTCGATCTCACCTCTCTCCGGAATGCAAGGACGGTAGGCATAGCGACCCTTTACAGTTCTCTCATGTTCCAGGGTGTTTGGTGACCCTCTGGAAGGGGCCAAAGGCGCATGCCCTACATCTAGTATTCTGTGACCGCCAGGTAGACAAGGGATGACTGAGTGCAGCTTTGTTTGCTAGTATAAGGTCTTGTTGGCCGCCTCTGTGGATCAAACTGTTGTTGCTTCGCTCTATTTTGGGTATCCAAATCATCTTTTGAAGATTCGTCCCTGTTGTGTTATTTACTCTACATTCCTCGCCTGGCATGTCCACTATGGACTGCACTCTCGCAAATATGGATGCCAACCCAAGATTCTATCATCACCAATATTCTGCTTCCACAAATAACATTCCCACATACGCGAACAGGAACACCCCCTCGTACTACGTAACAGATGAATATCCCACAGACCAAGGAAACGATATAGCATACCCTCGCTATTCGCCAACATTTCAGCCCTGGAGGAGACAACAAGCGCAGAGTTCTCTCTCATTCATCCCTTCGACGTCTCCTCTCCCGGAGCAAAGTGAGTACACAGCGCAACACAAACGACCAACAGAGCGCCTATCTGCCACCCCTGCCTCGCCGTTCCGGTCCGTGCGCAGGATGAAGCAACCTTTCCAGCTGCGCTTACCATCATCTCCATCGGTGGAGAGCATCCAGTCTGCTGCTAGAGAGTCCAGGCTATCGCAAACTCCATCTGGAAACCCAATGCTGCGGACTTGTCGATCAGATCAGAACATCACGACGACCAACATGGCAGCATTTGGACTCCTTCCAAGCCCCCCTCTATCAGACTCGAGGGAGTCACAGCCGTCGCCATCTTCTGCATATTTTTCCCCCAAACCGGACTCAGACTTGGACACTGACCATGGAACCCCGAAGAGTAGCGTTTATACGCCAACAACGATTTCGAGTGAGGTCTATAGCACCCATGGAAACGAGGCGACTCCGAAAAGAGCAGGGGACACGACGAATGTGCACATGGCACATTCCAATCTCATGAAACAATATAGCTCCCACAATGAAAAATGGTCTCCGGTATCTACTGATTGTCCACACATGTCTTCGCCAGCTCTCTCTTCGGATGTAGATGCGTTCGAGAGGAGAAAGTTATCCGGATCTTCCTTAGAAACACAGCGGAGCAGGTCAGGGACAGTATCGAGTGAAGAAGGAAGCTGGGTCCCAAGTAACTTTTCGTACTGTGAGGACTGGCTCCAAAGGGCACCCCTGGAATTAGAGACTACGGGAGAAAAATCAAAGGAAAACAACCGAAGAAGAATCCAGATAGTCCAACAGAGCCCTCCGCCAACTGAACGTAAACGCGAGATGAAGGCTCCTGCGGATGAACCAGTGGTAGGAATTCTCGAAGATTGTTGACCTAATATCTACTTACACTGTCCTAGATGTTTGCGGTCGCTAGCAAAACCAAGCCAAAGCTCGTTGATATATCGCGACAATCGTCTCCCGCCATGAGCTGCTCCATCCCAACCCCACCTCAACCCCCAGTGCCTTCAACGCCGGATCTGGGTCACCAAGAAATATCTGCCTTCAGCCCTGACACACCATTGGAAATGTCAGACAGCGGATATGCTACTACTGATCCATCTTGCGATTCCCCAAGCGACCCTAAACCGGACAAGGAGGATGACTTCATACCCGTAAGCTCGGTAGGAAGCATCAGTGAAACCGCTGTCCGTGATAAGCCAATGCGCAGTGTCGCATCGCCAAAACCACCTCCAAGGCCAGACGTAGTGTACAAAGCTTACTCGCCACCGAAACCTCGGCGTTCTGTGCCTTTGTCCAATACTGCCGAACATGGCGAGTTGAAGAAGTGGTGGGATCATGAGTGGGCAATGGATCAGCTGGAACATTCAATCAAGGAGTACCCACGGTGCATGCTTAGATTGACATCCCCGGTTATCATACTCGTTCGTCATAGCGACGAAAAGGACATCTTGCGCAGGTTTCGCCAAATCTTTCCAGATGCCGCAGATAATTTATTGGATGGTCTCTGTGCAGCTCTAATAGCGCGGAACTACGTGCTCTCATTAGCATCATCCAAACGAAAGACTGCACCTCATGGCCATCGCCCCAACCTATCTCGCCTTGACACTGTCCCTGAGAGAGGGAGCGCGATGTTAGCTACGCCACTTGCCCCGTCATCGCCATCGCGAATTAGAGATCGAGTCTTGGGGTCGCGGAGTGGAGAGCTCAACAAAAGCTTAGACCGAATAATTGACGATCTGCTGTTTGCTATATGTCGCAAGCACGACGGAACGTTGAAGTCCGCTGTGCTCGTCTTAGCCCAAGTCCTGGAGACCAAAGCCTAGACTATATTTCCTTCCAACATCTGTATGCTCAATTGATTTATTGACCTTACGAGCCCCACTAGTACCTTCCTTTTGCTGTCTTACAATTCCCAGGTTCAAGCATATTCCCCCTCTCAATTTTCTCTACTCAGCTCATATCCCTTCCTTTCCTTTCCTTTCTTTTTTTTGTTTTACTTCTGTATCCCAGATTGCATAGACCTCAGTCGCTTTCTCTCATTCGTTCAATCTTGTCTTTACTAATGTATTATTGACCATCTTGCCCTTTTACTACATATTTCATTTTGTCGATCTCTCTTGCGAACAAGTTTTCGACCACATCTCCACCTTTATTTCCTCTGTCTATCTAGTCAGCCATAGTGGTTAATTTTATAATCACTAATTGAGTATTGCTCAGCCTATATATTGAACAATGATACCATTGCATTGGCATAAGAACCTCATCCACGAATCATAGATCTCGTATTTCGTATATTAGTTTGATGCCATCAGTTAGGGCAAATATGTACGCCTAGGCACTAGGGGCTCTAAACCGAATAAGGTTAAACCATGCTGAGTAAGGGCAGCGGACTTCGTTATCATGTCGGAGCTTCCCTCATCTTTCCCGCGGAATTCAACTTTCGCAACTTTGCAAGTTGAATACCATCACCATGGCTGCATCGACGAACAAGCTACGTTTTCTCTATTCCTCTGCGAGGGCCATTCCTCAAACCGGGTCCATTGCCCCGGTCTCCCGCCGCACATATGCCACAACAGAACCTTCGCCGTCCGCCACTGGCGCACCGGCAGCACCCCGGAGACGGACAAACTTCACAGATAAGCTGAATGCTGGCCCTTCCTTCGCAGATTTCGTCTCCGGAGGCGAAGACAACGCTCCGCTTGAGCCTTCCGAAGCATATGCCCTCAAAACCGCCATGGTCGGCCCCGCCGGCCGCAAGAAGGAAATGACCCGTTTGCCTTCGTGGCTCAAGACTCCGATTCCAGACTCCCAGAACTACCAGCGGTTAAAGAAAGATCTACGAGGTCTGAATCTGCACACTGTTTGCGAAGAGGCTCGGTGCCCCAACATCTCCGATTGCTGGGGCGGTAGCGACAAGTCCGCCGCTACCGCCACTATCATGCTCATGGGTGACACCTGTACCCGTGGATGTCGGTTCTGCAGCGTGAAAACCAACCGCAACCCCCCGCCTCTCGATCCGCATGAGCCGGAGAATACCGCCGAGGCGATCTCGAGGTGGAGTCTGGGATACGTGGTGTTGACAAGTGTGGATCGGGACGATCTGGCGGATGGTGGCGCTCGCCACTTCGCCGAGACGGTTATCAAGATTAAGCAGAAGAAGCCCAGCATGCTGGTCGAGTGCTTGACGGGTGACTACCGTGGCGATCTGGAGATGGTGAAGCTGGTGGCCCGGTCCGGGCTGGACGTCTATGCGCACAACGTCGAGACGGTCGAGGCTCTGACTCCATTTGTCCGTGACCGTCGCGCAACTTTCCAGCAGTCGCTCAGCGTCTTGAAGACTGCGAAGGAGGCCAGGTCCGATCTGATCACTAAGACCTCCCTTATGCTCGGTTTCGGTGAGACGGAGGAGCAGCTCTGGGATGCTCTCCGTCAATTGCGGTCTGTTGGTGTTGATGTCGTTACGTTCGGTCAGTATATGCGCCCTACGAAGCGTCATATGCCTGTGCATGAGTATGTTACGCCTGACCAGTTTGAACTCTGGCGCCAGCGCGCCCTGGATATGGGCTTCCTCTACTGTGCTTCTGGGCCTTTGGTTCGCAGCAGTTACAAGGCTGGTGAGGCGTTCATCGAGAATGTCTTGAAGAAGAGACGTGCTGCTGGTACTACGGGCGAGTCCGTTACGGATAGCAAGGTTGTTGTCGATGAGGCTACTCGGTGAAATCACTTATAAACTTCTTTCCTTATTGTGTACTTTCTCTCGGCGCAGGTTCAGGTTGGCTTTTTATCAATTTTATGAAATGTATTGATAATGACGGGCATAGGCCGTCGTTCGCATATATTTGTTACTTGGGATTTGGGAGGTAAAATAGAAGCGTCCTCCGGGCATGTCCTGAGAGATCATTGTGTTCAGCACTCATATTCAGATGGAATCAACGATATAATGGGCATATTCATTCAGTAATGTCCGTGGCCTTCCTTATATGTACCCGAGTCCTTCACACCACTACGCCTACGTTAAATGATTTCCTCTAGGATCAACTGTCCTCTCGACTACTCCCGCCAGAAAGTGAAAACGCAGGCAGCCCATACGTGTGTACCAAAGCCGAGTCCATCGGCTTAGGAAAGAAAGAAACCGAGGAAAGTGCGCCGATAAACCGGTGCTTCTGTAAGTCCCTGCTGACAAGATCCAAGTAAAAGTCTGCACCTGGAGAAGTCTCCACGCAGGCTTTTCTTGGGTAAATATCATTTGAGATAGGACGTGTCTTTTGTCGTGTTCGCAACACACCTACGGCTTCTGTGACGCTCATGCTACTTCAGCAATCAGTTCCTTGATATCCTCCTTGCTGAGACCCAGAAGGTGAAGAATGTCCACCATGGTCTCCCCGTTCAGACGAGTGGGGGCTTCGAGTTGAACCATGCTCTTGGCGCGCCAGGCAACTCCGAGTCCAGCAGTATGGAGCATGAGAAGGTCATTGGCTCCATCGCCGACAGCAGCGGTCTGGGCGATGGGGATGTTGTTCTCGGCCGCAATGGACTGCAGGAGCTTGCGCTTTTGGCTGGCATCGATAATAGGGTAGGTGGGAACGAGTTTTCCCGTCAGAGTTTGAGATGCTTGGTCTACCTCGAGCTACACATACTTATCAGTATACCGGACCATCGAATAGTCCAAGAGAGCTCTAAAGAGGTAAAGGCTCGAAAGAATATAATGGACTTACGTGATTAGCGAATGCATAATCGATGCCAAGCTCGCCGGCCAACCACTCAGCAAGAGGCTGGAAGCCACCACTCAAAACTGCCAATTTACATCCGAGAGCCTTCAAGGCCTTGCACAATTCACGCGCACCAGGCGAGATGGTAATGACGGACTTCAGCTTCTCGAAAACATCCGCTGGTACTCCCTTGAGAAGACTGACACGCTCCCTGAGCGATGCAGAGAAGTCCAGCTCGCCGTTCATAGCGCGTTCCGTGATCTCCTATGGCACAGGTTAGCACTCACGAGCGCATTTGATAAAAACAAAAGTGCTAAGAAAGCATCCGCAGCGAGACTGACCGAAACCTCCTTCTCTACGCCAATGAACTTGGCAATCTCGTCAATTACTTCATTCTGGATCAAAGTACTGTCCATGTCGAAAACTACGAGCCGTTTGTGACGGCGGAAGACGCTCTCCTTCTGAAGCACAACCTCCACATTCCACTCGCGCTCGAATCGCCATATGCTCTCGTGTTTGCGCAGGTCTGCGAATGTGAGGTATTCCGGGTTGGGGGGTGGGGAGAAAGTGACTTCTACTACGCGCGGGTGTTCATTCTGGTCGAGGCAGCGGTGGGAGGTGTTCATGCGCTGGTACGGGGTCGGAAGGGATTCGAGGATTTGGAGGAAGTTCGTCAAGCAAAGTTGCGACACAAATGGACCGTAAAGGTGGTCTAATGGTTCAGGTTCTGGCGCAGGAGGCTCCCGGGGAATCTTCTCAATATCAATTGTCGGAGCCGAACCCACAGGAACCGTGGGGGACGGAAGTTTAACGCCAGCCCCAGCGTTTGACGACGAATCAGGATGGAGATGGGGATGAATTGGATCCGACGATTTATAGTAGATGGTTGCGACAATTTGCGGGGTACCGGTGGGAAGAGGATTCACTTGGTGGTTGAACAAGCTGTGAGTGATGCCGCTGTCGGTCACTTTTTCGGGATCTGGGCTTATTGGGTTGAGGGACAAGGATCCTACTCCCGACTCGAGGGAGCTCTCAAGGATATTGCCAATGCTGCTAATGGGGACCGAGGGCTTGTATTGTTGATGGTCATGAAGGAAGGAATTGCTCCTGAGCGATTCCTGCAGTGTCGGCCGTTGTGGACGTGCGGTGGGGTTGTCCGCTGCCATTTCTTCGCAAGATTGACTTGAGGATGTTGGAGTGAAGCAAAACCGAAGAAGGATGGGGAATGGTATTGCAAACACCTTGCAAAGATGATCAATGGAAGCCTGACCGTACCCTTGAAGGAGTAGCTGTCAAAGAAGACGTCGCCGTGGAATTGTAAAATCGACCCGTTTGCTGCAGGCCGATCCGCGGCACGTGGCGGGGTGTCTTAACCCAAGTCCGCGTGATGGTCACATGATTGATATGGGACAAAGAGGTCTCACCGCCCAGGCAGAATTGACGGCACTTCAGCATCAGCAATTTAGTGGCAACACATGAACGGGTTCATCGAGCAACACCATGAAAATGGAGTGAGTGGGGTACAGGATACTTTCACTGCACTGTATTCCAGAGTAGCTTAATAATGACAGGTGGGACAAACTAGCATGACTTTAATCCCTTCGTTCTCTTTCTAATGCTAATAACTACCAGGCCAGTCATATTCTTCAACAAGGGGAGGACCCTGCGTACTACATGAACAATAGATGCAGAGAGGTTCCACAGACCACTGCATTAAAGTGTCCTACCCCGGATGAATGTTTTCTCCTCAGGACATTCGACCATGTTCTAGAGAACAGGAGCAAGGGATTTATCAGCAGCCTTGCGCTGTCTTGTACTGAGACCAAAGCATTCCGGGGACCCACAGAGACCCAAGACGCAGGTATTGCGTGATTTCCCCAGGACATGAGGGAATTGAATTTTTCATCATGCTCCCCCGAAACCGCAGGCGGTCACAGACTATGTCGTGATCGAGCACGGCAGAATCCATCGGCATGTATGAGGGATTCACCAGCAAGATCAGGTTCCGATTGCCGGTGATGTCGTGCTCGCCCCTGTTTTCTTATATCTGACCGGTCGTGGACTCTCCTCTCCGTGTTGTGATGATTACTATCCCACATCATCTCACGCAAATTGGACCTGATCATTTGTCATCCTCTTCCATTCATCCATAGACATATAGACTTGCTAGAATCTCTACTCTTTCCCTTCCAATACTCTTTCTCTTCCATTAGATTCAACTCTACCCAGGTCACGTTGCGAAGATGCCTGCAAAGATGCCTGACACCTACCCCTCCCACGCTGAGGACATCGAGTCTAAGGACAACGCCACGGACTCTGGCTATGTCAGTGGTAGCTCGAGTGACGACTATCTCCCCGAGATTGTCTTCACGAAGCCACACCTGCAGTTTCTCAACAGACAGCTGCAGTTCCTCGAGCCTCAAGGTTAGTATAGAGTGACCCTCCTCGGTCCACTAGGTAGATGACTAACAACTTGCTGTAGATGTCTTGAGATGGTGTGTTACATCACTTCCTCACCTCTTCCAGACCACCGCGTTTGGCCTCACTGGACTCGTCACTCTTGATATGCTTTCCAAGCTGGAGGTCCCTCGCCCTCAGATGGTCGACCTCATCTTCCTGGACACTCTTCATCACTTCTCGGAAACCCATGCTCTGGTTGACAAGGTTCGCCAGAAGTACCCCTTGAACAACATCCATGTCTACAAGCCCAAGGGCCTGAACTCTGAGGAAGAGTTCGCCAAGAAGTACGGTGCCCATCTGTGGGAACGGGATGACCAGCTCTACGACTGGGTTGCCAAGGTAGAACCTGCCCAGCGTGCCTACCGTGAACTGAACGTCCATGCTGTCCTTACCGGCCGACGCCGTAGCCAGGGTGGCAAGCGTGGTGACCTTGACATCATCGAGGTCGACGAGGCTGGCCTTATCAAGATCAACCCTCTGGCCAACTGGACCTTCGATCAAGTCAAGCAGTACATCAAAGAAAACAATGTACCCTACAATGAGCTGCTTGACCGTGGCTACAAGAGCATTGGAGACTACCACTCCACCCAGCCTGTCAAGGAGAACGAAGATGAGCGATCCGGTCGCTGGAAGGGCCAAGCCAAGACCGAGTGTGGCATTCACAACCCTCGCTCCAAGTATGCTCAATACCTCATGGACCTTGAGCGCAAGCGGCAAGAGGAGGCCCTGTCTCAGGCCTTGCAGAATCAATTGACCACTGCTCAATGAACATGGTCTTCAGTCACCTCCGACTTGCATTGATAATGGCGTTTGGGATTGGGAGTTCTAGTATCTAGCGACACAGCCTTGATTTTCTTTATTATTACACAGGCACAGGCCTTGAACATATGTTATTATGACTTGGAAGACTATCTGTCATGGGTGGATTTAATGGTGCAAAAGATATCTCATGCCAGCCCCGCTCCACAAAGGAGCTTGTACATAGCGGGTGGCTTTTTTGTTTTTCTTTTCTTTCTACAAAAGCTGGCCTAGGGGCCGACTATGATAATGATTAGCATGATAGAAATGACAAGACCCTGATATTGTCTTGATTCTCGATTCCTTTTCTCTGATCGTTTGTGGTGTTTTTTAAGTCATGTGGGGCCCAAGCCCTAGAAAGTTGGTTCCCGACGAACCATTCTTATAGTTCTGAATTGCTTCTAGATTTGAAACAGTCACCTAGACCCGCAATCAATTATTAATACCTAATGTTAATTACATTTACTGGAATGGTCGTCTTTAGTGCCAATACAATTGTCTCTCTTTTAAATATAGCTATAGTACATATACCAAACGCACCCCACTTGTTGTCCGGTACAGCTGACTAGCTTCAAATCTAAGATAGGCCAATGCCTCCTCATACATACATGTTCGGATCCACGACAGGTCTGAACATTTCTTCGCACCACACCATCCAGTTCCTCTGCAGATCCAAAAAAAAATTTTCTATGACACTGCAGGCAACAACCCCCAACATCAGGCATCCACCGCCACCATCCACTTGAAGCTAGTATTAAACTTCCCCCAAATAAGGTTCTGATTGGGGGCTTCGTGTACCATGCGCTTCAGTCATCCGTCATAGCTCTTTATTTGATTAATGATACGAAATGATTACATATCATGAGTCACGCATGGGCTGGTTAACTATAATCTGACATACGAGATAAAGAGACTGGGCATCGGATGTAAGCCGCTAAGAAGTTGGGGCGGAAACGACTGTGGACAAGCCCAGTCTATATCTGCCGCTCGGACGGAAACGAGTACAAAAACGGAGGAAAAGTATACTACTGCACAACTAGATTGTTGATAAATAATTCATTCAACATGTCCGATATCGAGACTATCCATGTGATTTCCAAAAAAGATAACAGCCAACATGCTGTTGTCACTATTGAGAATCCCTTAAGGCAACTGCCACCTTCGTCGGTTCGCGTGCGGCCGCTTTTACTCAGTTTGAGCTCCAATAGCCTTTCCTATGCACGTGGCGGGGAGAAACTTCATTGGTATGTTATGACATATGATTTATCAAGGGCTATGCTAATGGGGCTTAATCGCCAACTTAGGTGGGATACCTACCCCGTCCCAAGTGCAGCACCGGCTCCATACAACGACCAATCGGCGTGGGGGATCGTCCCGGCATGGGGGTATGGCACCGTGCTCGAGAGCACGACTGATATCGCACCTGGATCGACACTCTGGGGGTTCTGGCCGACGTCAGGACTCCCGACGGATCTTACGCTGATCCCGGGCGAGCCGCGCGGGCATTGGATTGAGGTTAGCGAGCACCGGCAACGTCTCATGACCTACTACAACCGCTACGAGGTCGTGCAGGAAGATGATCGGGATAACATGGCCTGGGCTGCCTCCATGATCTGGGGCGCCGGGTATCTGCTCAGTGAGTATGTCTTTTCGCCTACAGGAACGCCTGTCCATCCCTACGGTGGTGCGGCTGGGCTGCCCTGGACTACTGAGGATGCGGACTTGTCGTCTGCGGTTGTTGTTAATTTGGCTGCGTCGACCAAGACGGCGCGCTCCTTTACGTATAACCTTTTGTGTCGGCCCGCTGGGTCCGGGCCGTTGGGTGTCTTGCAGATTACTTCTTCGCCTGAGGCTCTGGAGCGCGCTGCTGAGCGGCAGATTGCGAAACGTCAGTTGGTCGCTGGGCCGGTGAAGGCTCTGGCTTATTCTGATGTAGATCAGGCGGTGCCCTGGTTGGTTGGCCTGAAGCCGTCGAAATTGGTGATTATTGATTATGGGGCTCGGGATAATGTGCTTCTGCGACTTCGCGAACTGGTGCAGACCCATGAGGCGCTTCAGAACTGCAAGGTTGTGATTATCCAAGTTGGAGGCCAGCAGAAGGTATGATATACGTCAAGACCGTGTTGCGACTGTTGACTGATAGCCATGTAGGTGTACACAGCGGATGAGCTGCGCGAAGCCTATGCATCTATCCAAGCGCTGGGCAAGATTCAATCCAATGCGTCTACTACCCGGGATACGGCGATTGAACTTGACGGCCCCGATGCGTTTTTCGATAGAATGAATCAGCGGTGGAAGCAATGGCTTGATGATCGCGCGTCCACGGTCTCTGACTTGCGTCTGGTCTGGGGTAAGGGGGTTGCAGGCACCGAGGGGATATACGGCGGATGGGAGCGGCTGACGAAGGGGGATGTCCGTCCAGAGGAGGCGCTGGTGTATATGGTCTAAGGGGAATGCGGTTGTTTGGGCTAGCAGCGACTTCGTGAGGTCGGACTCTCCGTAGAGGGGTTGCAACAGCATACTCCGTAGAAATGTCTATTATGGAGTACGAGACCCCTGTTTGCAAACATATTGTTTAAAACGGTAGAGCTCAATGTCATAGTTCTCCACTTAGTCACTCTGTACGTAATAGGAATTGCGGAGCATAGGAGGAAACGCTGTCAGCTCCTATCAATTCGCCTTGTGTACTCCATATATTGTCCTCCCATATATCTTGCCCAGTATCAACACAGATGACATGTTTCACAGGGCGAATCTTGTATCAACGTCGCGCGAGCTGCGACTCCTAGGGGAACACGAACGCATGAATCCTGCGTGCCAGAAGTTCCACCTTCCGAACGGAAAGCATCTATGCGGGACAGACATCGCGGGTAGGGCTCCATGGGCTTCTTGGCAGGGGTACTTCATTGATAACGACCGTCCTCGCCTACGGTGCATGAAACAACATGGCTGACGTCTCCCTTCATTAATGCGACGGATATGCGGGGATATGCCGGGCGATCGTCATCTAGATTAGTCTAGTCCTAGAACTACTAATACCCGAGCCCTCCAGGAGATATTATAAGTAGTAGTTGTAGTTTACGTGTCCACTCCGCATCACCGTTTCCGGATATAAAAAGGGGATGATAACCGTTGACCAGTGCGACGACGAGGATGGTGAAACGGTCTTCACACGTCAGCCTGTCGGCCTCGGAGCGGAATCCGGTGGCAGTTTAGGGCCGTGCAGATCACCTGACCAGCCCTGCCAAGAGGCGTAATCACGCAAGCCGTGTGGAGGATGTCGTGATGATGGGCATGCCCCGCCACGTGATCCGGCTGCCAGCTGCCGAAAGGCCGTTTCAATGTGATATCAGACTTGTTTCACCTGACCGGCATTTGGAGAGAAAGCGCCTTGTCGATCCGATCTCGCAGGTGCTTTGACTTCAATGTACAGAGACAGATAGATAAAAAAAAAGAGAACAGTAATATCACCCCCAAATGTAACCGTACTGACGTATCCTCATTTCGAGTAATCGGAATTATCCGCAGAGAGTATTCGTGAATAATTCATTCATTCCCCCTGAAAATCATGACTCGTCTCGGTTTGATGATCCTGGAGATGGTGGTTTGGTCTCCAGTTCAGCGACGGGGTTCTGGAAGGGCTCGGTGATGGTCATGAATGGTGGGATAATTTATTTCGATCTGGGATTAAACTGTTTAGAAAATATTCAGTGGAAAAAGAAAAGAAAGGGATTGAATGGGTTTAAGAGTTGTTGCATGTTTGTCGGGACGATTCGTGACTAGTATAGAGTAAGTATTGATAGACGACATGAAGGAACCAAGGAACAGGGGAGGGATTGAAGAAGATTCTAAAACAGAGGTTTAATTTAATTGAGAATGCAATAGACAGAAAAAGGACTCAACGAAAACCAAAACCAAATCATACTGTGTATCAAATCCAATTCACCTGGTGATGATGCATACGTCGTCCAAGGACGTCCAAGAGTTTGGGAGCTCCACAGCCTGACGACTTCAACTCCGATCTTCATTAGCATCTTTGGCTGGAACAAGGCAATTCGCTCGGGATTCGAGAACCTTTGCCTTTCTCCTTGGAGCTCTCCATTCAATCGCCTAATTGAGAGGTTCCTTGGGTTGAACTTTTTTTTAGTATTTTCTTTTTCTTTTTCTCAAGGTCTTTTAAATCAATTTCTTTTTCCTTCTACATTTATTTCTCCCCCCCCCACTATTTCCGCACGTCCTTCGCCCCCCCTCTACTTTACTACTCTTCTCACATCCACCCTTTTCCTTTTAATCTCTTCATACCCCCCCTCTTTCTTGTGTTTCTCTTTCTCTTCCACCTTCTTTTCTACATTGCATTGGTCAGTTCATTTACACATACAACATGGCCAACACTCCTCACGGTGGTGTCCTGAAGGACCTTCTTGCCCGCGATGCTCCCCGCCACGACCAGTTGGCCGCGGAAGCGGAGACCCTGCCCGCCATTGTTCTCTCCGAGCGCCAGCTGTGCGATCTTGAACTGATCATGAACGGTGGCTTCAGTCCTCTTGAGGGTATGTTCTCAATCGCAACATGGCGCTTTTTCTTGGCTGTATTGCGACACCGCTTGGCAGTTGGCGGAGCCTGAAAGTTGACTCGGTGGCTGACTCCGATATCTCTCCGCAGGCTTCATGAACCAGAAGGATTTTGACGGGTATGCTGCGCTTTCCCCATTCGCACCAAGAAAACCAATTGTAGTCCAAAGTTCTCAAAAAATGAGCCTTGGCAGAGGTCTTGGAAAAAATTAATATGATTACAATTGAAGTCCCAAGCTGCCAGAACAATCCACTAACATTCTGCGCCTGGTTAGTGTCTGTGAGGACTGCCGTCTTGCCGATGGCAACCTTTTCTCCATGCCCATTACCCTCGATGCCTCCCAACAGGTCATCAGCGAGCTCAAGCTGCAGGCTGGCTCTCGTGTCACTCTCCGCGACTTCCGTGATGACCGCAACCTGGCCATCCTGACCATCGACGACATCTACCGTGCTGACAAGTGAGTGCTTCCCCTTTGCCGTGGAGCGCGGTTTCGCATGCGGTCAGGTAACGCAGGTGACTGACGATTGAATTGCACTGGTTTAGGGAGAAGGAAGCCAAGCTGGTCTTTGGCGGTGATCCTGAGCACCCTGCCATCAAGTACCTCAACACCAAGATTGAGGAATTCTACATCGGTGGAAAGGTCGAGGCTGTCAACAAGCTGAACCACTACGACTATGTTGCTCTGCGCTGTACGTTTTGTCACTGGTGTACGAATCGACACCCTGATATTGACTGCTGACACGTTGTAGACACCCCCGCAGAGCTGCGCATCCACTTCGACAAGCTCGGCTGGTCCCGAGTTGTCGCTTTCCAGACCAGGTACTTTCGTCGAGCCTGAATGATGATCCCTGGGCGATCTTGTGCTAACAGCCCACTGCAGAAACCCCATGCACAGAGCTCACCGTGAGCTGACCGTTCGTGCGGCTCGTGCTCGCCAGGCTAACGTCCTGATCCACCCCGTTGTCGGTCTCACCAAGCCCGGTGACATTGACCACTTCACCCGTGTCCGTGCTTACCAGGCCCTCCTCCCCCGCTACCCCAACGGAATGGCCGTCCTTGGTCTGCTCGGCCTCGCCATGCGTATGGGTGGTCCCCGTGAGGCCATCTGGCACGCCATCATCCGTAAGAACCACGGTGCCACCCACTTCATCGTTGGTCGTGACCACGCCGGTCCCGGTAAGAACTCCAAGGGCGAAGAGTTCTACGGCCCCTACGACGCTCAGCACGCTGTCGAGAAGTACAAGGACGAGCTGGGTATCGAGGTCGTCGAGTTCCAGCAGGTCACCTACCTGCCGGACACCGATGAGTACAAGCCTAAGGATGAGGTTCCTGCCGGTGTGAAGACTCTGGATATCTCCGGTACCGAGCTGCGCAACCGCCTCCGCACGGGTGCCCACATCCCCGAGTGGTTCTCTTACCCCGAAGTTGTTAAGATCCTGCGTGAATCCAGCCCCCCGCGTAACACCCAGGGTTTCACCGTCTTCCTTACCGGTTACCAGAACTCCGGCAAGGACGCCATCGCTCGTGCTCTGCAGGTCACCTTGAACCAGCAGGGTGGTCGCGCTGTCTCTCTCCTCCTGGGTGACACTGTCCGCCACGAGCTCTCTTCTGAGCTTGGCTTCAGCCGCGAGGACCGCCACACCAACATTCAGCGTATCGCCTTCGTTGCCAGCGAGCTGACCAAGGCCGGTGCTGCTGTTATCGCCGCTCCCATTGCCCCCTACGAGCACTCCCGGAAGGCCGCTCGTGAGGCCGTTTCCCAGCACGGTTCCTTCTTCCTGGTCCACGTCAACACCCCTCTGGAGTACTGTGAGAAGACCGACAAGCGCGGTATCTACGCCAAGGCCCGCGCCGGCGAGATCAAGGGCTTCACTGGTGTTGATGATCCTTATGAGGCTCCTCAGAACGCTCACCTCACTGTTGATGTCTCCAAGCAGACTGTTCGCAGCATTGTCCACGAGATCATCCTTCTGCTTGAGACTGAGGGTTTCTTTGACCGTGCTTAGAGCGAAGGTGTTCTGGAATGGGCTTTTTTTCTTGTAATGAATGTTAAAGTGATTTGAACTAAGTGTTGGAAGATATCATAGAACGTTTTTGCTTTAATGGATTACCTTTGATCCCACTGATACTTGAAGTTTTGAGTAATTGCCCATGATGGGAGTGAACTTGTCGCTAGCATGATAGCAATCGGGGCGCACATATTGACAGCATAGGGGTAAACACCAACTCCATATACTTACACCAGAGTAATTCATAAGTATATTCTCACCAAGTAAACATTTTCAGAATAATTTGTTGCTACTTTAACATCTACGAACGGAACTAAACCTATTAAATCCGCGGGTAAAATAAAATTTATTGCAAACCATGCAAACAGACCTACCAAGATGCTCCAACCACAGAAAAGCGGAATTGACCGTCCACGAGATCCAACAACCACAACCCCAAAGCATCAGAGATGCTCCCCCCTCGCCTCACAAGTCGGATACCGGGGGCCATCCGGCCAACCCGGATACCATGCACTCACAGTCTTCGCCACCCCTCTCGCGCATTCACGGCAAAGTCCCGACTCGAGCTCGTATCCCCCCCATACGTCAGGCCACAGCTCCCCTTCCTCTCTCCACTGGCAAGCAGCCGCCCTGTGCCGCCATTGTCGATTCATCTCCGCCAGCATTTCGCACGCCTGATCTCGACGGAGAGTCGCGAGCATTATAAACGTCGTCTTTCCCGCGGCCTCCGCATCGGCCTGTCGTTCTATGCTATCCTGGTGCTGTTCCAGGTGATCAAGCTGGGTGTTTATCAGGAGGAAATCGAGCATCAATGGCCGACGCCGCAGGAGTGGTCGTGGAAGAGTCGGTGGTGCTTGCGCTCTGCGCAGGCGCTGCAGCATCCGGAGGATATCGGGAAGCTGATGACCAATTGGCCCATGGTGGCGGGGTATCTGAAGGAACTGCTGGAGCGGTTGGAGGATCCTGCGGGTGAAGGGAAGGGTATTGTTGAGCAAGGGGATGGCGGGTTTTTGGTGGAGGGTGTGGGGAAGACTGGGTTTGATGTGTCGAGCAAGAGTGAACCCTGGCGGAGAGGGTACTTCCAGGCGCTGATGGGGGCGGCGAAAGCGGCGGAGAATCTGGAGGGCTGGTTGACGGACCGGAAGCAGCGTATCTCTGCGCCGGCGGAATATGTGGTCGGTCCCTCGAACCCGCGTCCGAAGCCTATGCCTGCGGGTCAGAAGAAGGTGCCGCGGGAGGAGGATTGCGAGCAGGCTTCTCCGAGCCCCGAGGTCTTCTACATGAAGATCCTGACTACGCGTGGGTTTGATACTCGGCAGAAGCTGGATGCTGCCCTCGCTTACGCGGATTGGCTGGACTATAAGGGGTTGCAGGATACTGCGAGCGACATGTACAATTGGGCTATGGACATTGCGGCCTCTGGGTCACCGGTGGACGCCGGGAAGGTGGTGGATGTGAAAACGGGGGTTCTTAAGAATGATGGCAAGTCCTTGCCGTCGGAAAATATACTGCGTGTCTCGACCGCGCTTGCGGTTTACCATGCCCGACATAACAACCTTCCCACCGCTCTCTCCATCTTTACCTCCGTTCTGAAAGCCCGTCGTTCTCTACCGCCGCCACCTCCTGGCACGATTATCCCCAAACTCCCATCTCTACACAAGTCTAAGGACCCGTTCCGTTACCTTTTCGACTCAATTAAGATCATGCTCGTCCCCGTTGAATATCCCGCACCTCTCCCATCTGGAAATGAACCGCCACTTCGAACTGCTACCTCTGCCTGCGACGAGGCTGGGCTCATGACTTACATTGGCGAGATCATCTACGCCTCATCCTCAAAAGAAAAGGGCCTCGCCTGGACCCGCGACGCAGTTGACACAGCCGAGGCCACCATGCTCGAGCTCGGCGAATCCGACCGTATTCCCCGACACCGCTGCGCGGAGTGCCTCCGCGTAGGCTTGGAGAACTGGAAGACGATGGTCTCCCGACTTGTCGCCAAGGCTGAGAAAGAAGAGCAGGAAAGCATTCAGAATGTCGGACGCTCCTGGTTCGGCGGCCAGAAGCAGGTCGAAGCTAAATCCGTGGAACGGAAGAGATGGGAAGCCGAGAATCTGATCCTTGACGACCGAATTCGGCGACTTTGGCCGATGATTGACGGGGAGTCTGGGCTAGAGGGGATTGCGCCCAATAGCTCATTGTTTGTATGATGTTATTTTGAGTGAGAAATTCTTGTCTTCGAAGGGACGATTATACCAGGAGTTTGGGGCGAGATTAGCATCTTTTGGTCTTGTCGGTTCATAAAATGCCTGTATATTTACTGAACATATTTGCATAAGTTATACGACGTTGAATGTTATCCATAATAGGTTTTTCGTTTTTTTGCGCCTTCGGATAATACCTCGGTGGAGGGAATGTAGAGCTGTAGCCACACTGCAGACAGTGTGGTATGATCACTGGGTACCTGACTAACTGCATCATATCGTCAGGGCCTTGGTTTTTGATACCTAGTAAGAGTATCACTATGGCATTGCGTGCTCAGTTAATTTGGAGACGTCGTTGTAGCGATTTAAGTACGGAGAGCTCCGTACGGGGATTGTTCTCCGAAGGGATAGGGCATCAATCATTTCCCATTACCCAACAACTTTCTTATTGTATCCTCTTTCGCCCTCGCGTAAGAGGAAATGAGGAGAAACTAACCTGCATTGAACCGTGAGGGGACAAGTCCAACTAAATGGCGATGTTCGGCCACTGCAGATGTGGGTCTAAACACTGGGATGGATGTCGTGATCTAATCGTTGCATGAGCCGTATCGTCGCATTATTGGCTTCAGGTATGAAATGTTGCATCCCGATGGAGCTCCACATGCAACCCAGCCCCCAATGAGAGAGATGGAGGTACTATCCGGAGTAGCCGGCGAGATAAAATGAGCGTTGGGATTGGGTCTGCAGTCGGATATCCGTCGGGGGATGCCGCTGCATATGTGAGCTATCCACAGTTACCTTCCTGATCAAGGAAAGGATTCCCACCGACCCTGAACCCATGAAAGCTTCCCAATGCTTGTCTGTCGGGGACAAGCTTCTCCACCCCTGGTGATGTGCATCGTACTATTTGTTTCTGCCTGTTTTCTCGCCGTTTAAAAAGAGCACGAGGCGACCCCCCCCCCTGTCGATCGACTCTGAGTTTCGCTCACGGGTTCCTTGTCCAACTTGGCAAAACTTACTCACGATGCGTGCGGTAACAGTTATTGCTTCTCTTTTGCTGGTCGGCTCTGCCGTCGGCTTGGAGAATCCTCATCGCAAAGCTAAGGCCGTTCACCGAGCTCACCAGCACAAGGCGGTCTTGCCTCGTGCACTCCCGGTGGCTGGGAATGAGGATTACAAGTACTTGACTAACAAGACCGAGAGTTAGTATTTGACAATCCCGAAATAGTTGAGGTAATAATGCTGATGTATTCATGTCCCGGGTAGGATTCCTTGTCAACGGCACTGGCATCCCAGAAGTGGACTTTGACGTTGGGGAATCTTACGCAGGTCTCTTACCCAACTCGCCCGCTGGGAACTCCAGCCTCTTCTTCTGGTTCTTCCCTTCTCAGAACCCGAAGGCACAGGATGAGGTATGCATTGACCGCCAATATAACAGGGTAGCTGTAGTCTTCTGAAATCTAACACATCTCTAGATCACAATCTGGCTGAATGGTGGACCAGGATGCAGTTCCCTCGATGGATTGTTGCAGGAACATGGTCCCTTCCTCTGGCTTCCGGGCACTTACAAACCTGCTCGAAACCCATACTCGTGGACTAACCTGACAAATGTGGTCTATATTGACCAGCCGGCTGGAACGGGCTTATCTCCTGGCCCGTCTACCGTGGATGACGAGGAGGGCGTTGCCGCCCAGTTCAAGAGCTGGTTCAAGCACTTCGTCGACACATTCGGCCTGCACGGCCACAAGGTGTATCTGACCGGTGAGAGTTATGCCGGACAATACATCCCGTATATCGCTTCGGCAATGTTGGACGAAGAAGATGAGAAGTATTTCAATGTGAAGGGTATTCAGATCAACGACCCTTCGATTAACGATGACTCTGTGATGATTTATGGTATGTTTTGCATGGTGCTTTGACACTCGCGCTGATGCCTATTCTGACAATACTACAGCCCCGGCCGTCAGGCATCTGAACCATTACACAAGTGTCTTCGCTTTGAACGACACATTTATGGCCGATGTCAACTCCCGTGCGGACAAGTGTGGCTTCAACAAGTTCCTTGATGAGGCGTTGACTTACCCACCACCGAAGGACTTCCCTGTCCTTCAGGAGATCAACTCGGAGTGCGCTATCTGGGACGATATTATTGCGGCTGTTTACGATGTCAACCCTTGCTTCAACATCTACCACTTGACAGACTACTGTCCTTATCTCTGGAGCGAGATGGGCTTCCCTTCTCTCGCAGGCCCACCCAACAACTACTTCAACCGCACTGATGTCCAGAAGGCCCTTCACGTCCCTCGCACGGATTACTCTGTCTGCGGAGAAACGACCATCTTCAAGAACGGTGATCAATCTCCCCCCAGTGCCCTGGGTCCCCTCCCTAGCGTGATTGAGCGGACGAACAACACAATTATTGGCCACGGATGGCTTGATTACCTACTTTTCCTGAATGGATCATTAGTGACCATCCAGAACATGACTTGGAACGGTGCCCAAGGGTTCCAGAAGCCTCCTGTCGAACCACTTTATGTCCCCTATCATTATGGTCTGGCCGAGCTCGCCAATGGCAATGCCCCGGAGCCATTCACACAGATCGCTGGTGCGGGACTTCTAGGCACAGCTCATACCGAGCGTGGGTTGACTTTCTCCAGTGTTTACTTGGCTGGTCATGGTAAGTTGAAACTCAATAGTAGCTGTTGATGACTGAATTGTGGTGCTGACAATGAGGCTAGAAATTCCCCAGTATGTTCCCGGTGCGGCATATCGCCAGCTGGAGTTCTTGCTTGGTCGCATTGAGAACCTGCAGCAGCGGGGAGGGTACACTGCCTAGATGTATAAATAGACCACTTCAATCTGTATATACAAGACTTGAGGTATATAGGACGTATTTTAATAGTACGCTTAGACGGAGAATAAATGCAGCTCCGACATTATCTTCCTTCAGAATCAGTGTTCTTCACGCCCGTTGCGGAAAAATCATAACGAACTGTGTACTAAGCCAGGCGTGCCCTTCTTCGGATCTTCGAATAAAGTAGGTTCTTAAACCCGACGAACATGGGAAGCTGCATCGTCGCATATTCGGGGGTTTCAGAGAAGAGCCCGGCAGGCGCAATTGACTGAGCTTCGGCCTTGTTTACAACGATGTAGCACTGTCCGATCGTATCGTTAAGACCAATGAATGCTATCAGATAATTTCTTTTATACGCTGCATGCAAGGTCGTATTTCTTCCTGGGTCGCGGCTTATGATCGCATTGGCTGGACGGTAATGGGCTGACTCCATGCCCATTCTGCGAATAGCGGACACATGCACCTTAGCGTAGAGCGGAAGATTCCGAGGCTTTGTGAGAGTTAATTTTCGGCATACGGTAGGGGTAAGAAAAGCGCGGGTGATCATTCGATTCGTTTTGTGTGTGTGGTTCCCGGTGCTGTGCAGGTGGCCTTGTATGGATGCAAGATGTAAAGAGGCCTTCAACTGATCGCTAGAGAATATGGTCTCTGGACTAGCTGTGAATGCATTGTACTGGTCGCTTATACTACCACTGTCCATTATCTTGGTCAGATCTAATGGGCTGACCTGCGTATGCTCATCGCATCCAAACTGCGTCGTGAGCCTGAAAGACAGGCCGGCCTTGGAGGCCTCGCGGACCATCCAGACCAGCGGGATATGGCCGAGGCTCCAAGCCTCACCGGGGTCTAGCGGTACAAGCCCCCCGATATCCTGTTGAAATTAGCAAAAGATTTCACGAGCAAACAAAATACTTACAGCATGACTACCCGGGAACCAGACTTGCTTGACTCCTTTCATACGTAGTCCATCGCTGAGCTCCTCTTTCAGTAGAACTGGACGTAGTGCAGCGTGATATTCATCTATTGAAACTGCATGACAAATAGTACTGGCTGATTTCGAAATCTCCGTAGCTGTCGAGATTCGCTCCCCTTCTCCGTCGAGATGTTTGGATTTGACGACGACCGTATCGAATAAACCAAGAAATCGGATGCTGTTAACGGGCTTGCAGAGCTTTTCCCGGAAGTCTTTCATTTTAAAGTAACTCTCTCTTTCCTCCCACATCTTATCAGCATCGGCCCTCAGCGTATAGGTATTCCACCGTTGGAAGATGTCCCAGGCAGCCTGAAAGCTCTCGTTACCTTGAGGCAATATTCCAATATAATCGACCATTTTTGCGAGTGCTTGAGCTATGTAAGCCCCATTGGAGAAGCCAAAGAGAAATATCTCATCCCCGACATTATAGTAATCTACGAGCCACTGTTAGAAGTAGTATTAGTGTTTCGGTATCTTCTAGTTCCACAAAATAGCTTACATTGTATCCATCACCTATACATGCCTTGAAACCACCAGCACGGCTAGAATTGGCTCGTTGGTAGTAACAAAGCTGGGAACCGTTCGTGCCATAAAGCATGTTATGGATTTTCTCAATGTTGGATTGATGATTCGCTTGACGCTTCTGGCTCCCTCCGTCGAAACATAGAATTAGCTTTTTAGGTGGCTCTCCTGATTGTGATAACTCTTTGCGGAGACGAGATCCTGCGTAGTGATAAGGTCTATGCTCATGCAGCAGGGAGCCCCCTCCCTCGCCAATGGATGTCTTCATCACATAGATCGTTTGAGCCTTGGCATGACGCATTTTCGACAGCGGAATTTCCCTGTTGATTCGAGAGTTATGTCTCATATACTGGAACTGTCCGCCAGGGCTCGGAAGCAGATATATCCCCACAAGAGCTCTATACTTTTCTGAGGTGTCCTGACACTCGAGGACAAGTATGTCCTTTACCAGTAGGTTCTGGTACAGGGGTAAATGCAGTCTTATACCCCGGTTGGTCACCGAGAACGGAGCAGAATCCTTCTTTGAAAAATAAAAGGGCACGATATCTCCGGAATGCTTGAAATCAGCGGGCGATCGTGCAAGCAAACCAGTTTCAGGTCGGTCTGATGCTTCGCGTATTTCCCATGCGAAAAGTGACTGATCGGCTGACTCTTTCATAATCTCTTCCTGTAGTCTTATGAAAGCCTTCTCGCCCTCTCCATAGAGCAACGGCATGTTCACGTGAAATATCCCCATGAGACAGTAGGCTATGTCCTCCACACGTGTCGTCTTTCTTCCTGAAGCCCATGACATTCGCCTGGCAATGCTAAAATCGGACAACTGTGCTGAACCTTTCAAAATCGACTCGTCTATTTTGGTGATCTCATGTATCAAGGTGCTCCAGGAGTCTCTTGATCCTATCTCACTCCAGTCATCTGCAAGAAAACGCACATCCGACGGAGCAATGAGTTCTTGAAGGGTCCAACCTCGTTTGAAGTATTCACTCTTCCTAACTTTGGACGATAAATCAGATTGATCATTGTTCGAGGAAACATCGCGTAAGTAAGCATAACACTGTCCTGCCGACTCGTACCATCTGAACATTGAGTTAATCGCTTCGGACAGCTCAGCGCTACTTTCTTTATTGATACAACATGTGTCAATCCAGGCATACTCGAAGCCATCCTGGTTGGCTACTTTACACATGTTCTCCACTTTTCTGTAGCCCTCCGTATCATGGTTCCGGCCGAGGAGTATGTCTTGGAACGTAACTTCTTTCTTGCCCCATCGGTGCGAGAGGACCGCGTAAGGCGGGATTTCATCTGTGAATTCCTCGAGCTGTAAACGCCCTGTGTGAATTAGACGCATTGTCGGTGTCAGTGCAGGGTATGCAAAGGAACTTGGAAGAGAAGTTGGGCTTCCTGTTTACGGCGGGCATATCGTCTAGTCTCTTTGGGGTATGGTTGTTTGACCATGTGACGTGGCATACATCAGCTTTAGTCTACATCGTCCGTCCGTAGAAGCTCAATTGTTAACGATAGTGACCAACTTTGGGCCAAATGTACCAATTCTCAGATGAGATTTTATCAAATCGAGCGAGACCGCATGAAGCAAAGGTTCCTGCCCTACTGGACATTCGCAAGTTGTGCTAAACAATCTCCGTTTCGTGACAACGTCACTCATCTTAGTTTTCAGGTATCCTTCCCCTTCCATTCGGTCTTGATAGTTAGTTTGACCCGATTATAACTACCTCTCACTACCCTGACAGGGTGACATTTCTATGTCAGAGTAGAATTAACGAACTAAAGAGGAAGCCTGGTGTAGCATTACAAAAGTACAACTGTGATTTTCAGCCAGGTTACTATTTTAGTATCTTCTATCACGTGACCTTCATGCAAAGTGTCCTGCATCTTATGAGCATTGAAAGCCCCGAGTGTCCAGCATTGCGCATCTCTGCCTGCTCTAACAAAGTATTCCCAAAATGACAGCGAGTCTTCCTCTTTTTAGGGGAAACAGCATTTCCTTGGAAGATGCCTTGGAGGATAACGACAATATTCTCCATCGGTTAGATTATCCACAAAAAAAGTAGGAATTCTGGTCGTATCTTCTCTTTTATAAGAATGATATTGAAGAAATAGTTTGCTTTCATCTTTGTGCAAAACATTGCCAGGTAGCTGATGAAACTCACTAGTTATTTAGCAGCTATAATGTATGTATTCCTGTCTATATCGATCCGCTATCCGAGGAGGTGGTTTTAATTCGAATCCCCTTACCTTTTAAAATCGGAGAGGCGTTTAATCCTGGAAACATGGATGAAAAGCTACGGTGCGAAGTAGCTACCTATATTTGGATTCGTGAGAATTGCTTGACTGTCCCTATTCCGTCTCTCTATGGGTTCGCATTCCCTAATAGGCTGACAGTCTGTGAACTCAATCCAATATCTTTTAGTCTTCTTTATTAGTTTGTGTCACGTCAATATCGCGACGGGCCATTCATACTCACACTTACTGATCTTCACCCAAGTAACATATTCGTTGATGAACACTGGCATGTAACATCCCTTATTGATCTAGAATGGGTATATTTGTTTCCTGTCGAGTTATAGACACCCCTATACTGGTTATTTGGTTGACCTATTGATGATATTGAGCATGGAGAATATCTACAGACCTTCGAGAAAATCATCAATGAATTCATAGATATCTTTAAAGAACAGAAGAAAAGACTTCAAGGCCCTAATACTGTCCAGGCTCAGATTATAAGACAATGCTAGGTTAAAAAAAGTTTCTAGTATTTTTAGACTACACACAGCCCAAAGGGGCTCCTTAATATCTTCAACAAACATATCCAATGCAGGTTTTGTGAGGAGCATTACACCCAACGGGTGTTTAATCGAACTGTCAGTCCTTACTAGTGTGTAGGAGCCGAGGATTTTATTCAAAAGAAGGTCGAAGAGGACACGAAATACAAAGATCGGTTAAGAAGAAGGTTTGATAGCATTGGCCAACAATGCGATCCATGCGTTTGAAGTAAGCACTGCATTACAACGGGACGAGTCATCCTCAAGGACCCGTACGTAGCCTACCAAGTCAGATACTTATTGATTCACATTGCATTACCAAAGTCATGTGGATACCTAACAGGATACCACTTAGAGACCATTCCCACCTTTAGCGTATATGTTGATATTCACTATGTAGCGAATTCATAGGGGAGTACAAACCTGGTAACCTAAACCCTAAGCAAGTAGCAATGATGGGAGGCAAATTATTTAATCTATCTTCCCCTATTTTCTCCTACTTTCCTCAAACCCCACTCAAGATTTATCCATCCAGGACCATCCTTAATCCAAATTTTTCCCCTATCTCAGGAGAAGGGTAAGACTTGCTGAATCTTACAGAGTCATGAAGACACCAAATTGTCGAAGACTAACTCTATTTCCCTATTCATCTTCTGCCAACTCTATCTCCTGTGAATCAGCCCAGTAGAGTATTCACTACACCTTTTATTACTGCTTCCCATACATCGTTGTCTCTCCATGCAAAGCAGGATCCTCCATACATGACACGATCTGTCCACTTCCTCAACCACGAGGCGTCTTTCAGAGATGCTGTAGACTCCATCCGTTAAGCCGTGAGAAATGTCCTCCCATCAAAGAAGGGCAATGATATGTTCGTGTTCTGACGCTCAGATGGTCAAAGGGCGACTTGGAGCTTTCCGGCATTGAGATGGAACTTTTTGGACTTCTCTCTGCCAAACTCCATTATGTCTTGTCACCTGGCCATCGGATTGTATTTACCGAAGGTCCATGGCAGCTGGAAGGAGATTCCATAGTTACGATTTGGATTCCAATGCATATACCAGTACATATGCCCGTCGTGCAGCTCACGGAAAGCTTCTCAAGCCCATCACCAAGTATGACAGCCCTGCCAGGTGTATCTACCTGCACCCTGAATAGCTCAAAGTTACCTGGTTAGACCAGGCCAGAACGCATAAGAGGAAGCTTGCCTTACTACTTCCTAAACGGGCCTTTGGCAAGCGCTTTTCATCGTCGTCTATGAAGGTCACTCGTATATACCTACCGGTGCTTCATATCTCATATTATAGTACGCTTCTCCTCCCGAATGTTGACAGTGCAGTAAGCTAATAGAAACAGCAGCTCGCAGCATCCAGCAGCTCCGACTCTCCCATGAGGCTATGTGGAATCAGGCTTGGAGAAAACTGACAATGCCGGTATTTTGATTTTACTTGACTCCTGTTTTCCAACCGCAGCGGCACTTGGTGCCCTTCTTTGCATGTCCGCTTCGAGGAATTGTGGCTTTGGGGTCCAAATGAAGGTGAGAGCGGGTAACGAACAGTTGGCGACATCGGCTTTGGAGTCTCCAGCCACTTGAGTATGTAGGGAGGAGCTTCACCCGTATGTTTCTTGATTTGTTGGCAAGCATGGATTGTCCAGAGATTGAAGTGGCCCACCTCTATGCCAAGGTAGTGAAACAGGCCAACATAGCCGAGTGAGCTAGACTATTACTCCTGTGCACATCGCAAGCGTGGATAAGCTGCCGTCAATCACGCTCCATCCGCTTTACAAATAACGATACCGGTGGCCATGTGGAATATACTCAAGCAAAGCGACAGCTACGGCTTTATTATTTATATAGAAACCCACAATCTCCATTCTCGGTCAACCCAATGCCTCAAAACATTCTACAAAGTCAGGGGGGCAACGTGCAGCCTCCCCACACGGGAAAAGTAAAATCCTGTTCTCTCTGATGCCGTCCTTATTTAAATATTGCTTTTACATACCTTTGTTCTTTGTGTATTTATGAGAAAAAGAAAAGAAAAGAAAAGAAAAAAGACCAGCCGGCGACCTTCCGATTACATGGAGTAAATTCTACTCCCAACACATTCTCATCCCTCCCAAAATCAAGCAAAGCAAATTGTGCTACAATTAGCGCCCTCAGGTTCTTGACCTGATCATGTATGAATGACTTCAAGTACATAGAATTATAGTACTATAGTATTATAGGGCATCAGATTTTAGCACATTTGGTGCTCACTGATATAGGGTAAATATGCCCACGTGACTAAAACTAACCAACAGAAGAAGATAGCTCAGCCTGTCAGCGCATACACGAGTCCATATTCAGATATCCAATGGCTGTCAGCCCGTTAGAATCTACAGTACTGCCTAGTAGGGGTTCAGGAAGGTTCCCTTGCACGCGTTGAGGAGCCAGAGTCGTACGCCGCATTGCGCAATCTTCGTGATCGAGAATAATAAAAAAAAAAAAAAAAGGCATTCCAGACAGGCGGTTAGTGTCGGCACGCCTAGTACCCTCTCGCCATGATCCCCGTGGTATGTCCGACATGGCCCACCTCGTGCAGGAAGGCCCCATGGCCGATCGAACAGGCGCCGCGTATAAGGAGATTCGGAAATGTTATGTAGATATTCCCCCGAGCCGAGTGTTGCTCTCTCTGCTCCTTGGTAAATTCGGGGCAGGAAGTTCCTCGTACGAGATGTCTACACATAGAGAACACTAGACTTTCTGAACCACTTTACAGGAATACAGCTTGGACCACAACACGTGCACATATGTCCAAAAGGTTACAGGTGGAAAGACAGCCGTTTCTGGCCTCCCACAGGTCTTCATATTCTAGTTGTAGTATTACATAACCAACAAGTAAGATTTTAATAAGGCACCACTACCACAGCTCACACACCACCCTCCTTCTTGGCACTGATATTCGCTCCATCCTCAGTAACATCCAAAGAGCTACCGAGCGTAGCAGTCCACTTGCGCACCAGATGGCCCTTTAGGATAATTCCCGCCATGATGATATCGACAAAAACAATCAGGAACGCGCCCATTCCCCACATCCAGCCCACGCCAACAGAAGACTGCCACTGCGTGACGATGAACACGGACATCAGGCCAAACGAGACTCGATACGCGTTCAGCGACACCGAGGCCTCGACCGGGTTATTCAGGAAGCATTCGATGATATAGTTATAGCAGACCGGGAGGGCAAGCATCGCTCCAAACCAGATCAGGAACGAGCCCAGCGCCAACACCATGAAGTGGAGGTGGTATTGGAGGCCGGCGCCGTAGATCCCGAGCCCGATGGGGAGGAGGATGCTCGGCAGGATGGTGTTTGCCAGTCGGTACTCGGTGTGCCAGGTTCCGCCGCGGCGACGGGCGAGCCAGAGAGGTGTCTTGTCGTTGAAGAAGAAGCCGTAGACTTGAGCGCTGATGATTCCCACCCAGGCTGTCATGGTGAAGAAGGCCATTTGCAGGGAGGAGAAGCCGTACCCGCCCGCTTCCTCTGGGGGTTCGAGGTAGGTGGCCAATGTGGAGGCTTGCATGATAGGGAGACCCAAGGCGATGAAAATGTAGGTTCCGGTCAGCAGCGTGATGGGGGTAAATGTGATTTGGAGCGGGGTGATTGCTCTGCGGACCTAAGGAGACTGTCAGTTACCCGGATTCTGAGTAGATAGTAGGCAGAGCACTCTTAGATGCTATCAGTGGGTGCTTACAAATTCCGATCCCTTGCCCGATGGTTGTGTTTTGGTACCCGGCAAGAAGGTGGCGATGCGATTGGCAAGCCAGCCCTTGGGTAGGGGAGCACGCTTCGGCATGGAAGGGTCCCGGGGGAAAGTAGTCTCTTCAACAAAGAAGAACACAGCAAGGATGGCGGCGCCGACAGGGCCCAGCGTCCACCAGAAGACATAGTTCCACGGCTTGCGCTCCGCAATGAAACCGCCCAGCGTGCCACCGCCGACGACAGCAAAGATGATAAGGACCTCGAAGATAGCAAATGCTTTACCCCGCTGGTGCAGATAAAACATATCCATAATGTAACCGCTACCCAGGATAGCCGGGATACCACCAAACATGCCGCAGAAGAGTCGTGAGAGGGTGAAGGAGATATAGTCATTTGCACCCGTCATCTCGGCAGCCCAGATCTGGCAGGCGAAAATAGCCACCAGGCTCCAGAATACCACTGAACTGCGACCAATAACACCCACAAGAGGAATCACGAAGAAAGGGCCTGCGACCCATCCTGCTAGACCAGCCGCAACCGAGTTTAGGAGGTCGGTTTGAGTCTTGTGATATGCTGGGATTTGGTAGATGAAGGTGAGTTGGTTGGAATTGGGCGACATCTGACCCGCAAAACCAGCCAGGCAAATGCATGCAAATATGGTAATTTTCTTGTGCATGGGCCAGTTCTGGAAGATTGTTAGAGGGGTGCATCGCGATATGGTATGCCGGGGTCCAAGATCATTTCACATACCAAGGGGTCTTCCGGGTCATCGCTCGGTTGAGGAATGAGGACGATGCCATTGTCATTCTTTTTGGAATATTCGGAAGACTGATCGCTTCCACCTGCGACCATCACATCCGGTGAGGGATACTTGTCCTCTTGCTCTGTTGCAGACATGGTGAACGTGCAACCACTTGCAGA